GCGGTTTGGCTGTTCGAGACAATGCCGCTTAGGACGGTCATCTCTTGGACCATTGTGATTGATGGGTATGTGCGAATGAATGTGCCCGAGAAAGCTATACATTTGTTTTCAAGAATGGTCGCTTACGACAGGATAAAACCCAATGAGATATCCATCCTTGCCATATTACCGGCTGTTTCGAACTTGGGAGACATAAGGGCGTGTAGATTGATTCATGGCTATGTTGAGAAGAGAGGGTTTGTTCTGTCTGCCATCCGTGTGGCAAACTCTCTCATCGATACATATGCAAAATGCGGGTGCATACAAAGTTCGTTCAAGTTTTTCAGTGAGATACCAGAGGGAAGAAAGGATATGGTATCATGGACATCGATCATATCTGCTTTTGCAATGCACGGGATGGGTAAAGAAGCGATCTTTACGTTCAAAGAAATGGAAAGATTTGGTTTGAAACCCAACGGGATAACACTGCTGAGTGTCTTGACCGCTTGTAGCCATGGAGGGTTAGCAGAAGACGGGTTAGATGTTTTCAACAAGACAATCAACAAGTACCAGATCAAGCCGGATGTGAAGCACTATGGATGTCTAGTAGACATGTTAGGAAGAAGTGGGAGGTTAGAGGAAGCTGAAAAGATCGCTCTGGAGATTCCGACCAAAGATAAAGACGATATCATAATCTGGAGAATACTTCTGGGAGCTTGTAGCTTTCATGGAGATGCTGTGATGGGAGAGAGGGTCACCCGGAAGATAATGGAGTTGGAGAGAGGGTATGGAGGAGACTATGTGCTTATGTCCAACATACTTTCCAGCGTCGGAAGATTTGCAGATGCCCAGAAGTTTCGGCGGCTGATGGATCGTAGGAAGGCGATCAAAGATCCGGGTCATTCACAGCAGGCAATAGCCGAATAGATCCCGAGATTCGATGACATCATCGCCGAAATGAGGAATTGGCAGATGCTTCAATCTAGAGTTGGTATTTAGTAACAGTGGTGTGTAGAAGTTTTAGAAAGGAACCAAGAGAAGCTTGGGAAGCTTTCACCTCTCCGGGCGGGAAGAGGAGGCTTTGTGATTTTATTTTTACCTTAACGGTTAATTTTGAATAATCATTTAATAATCCATATCGACTGCATTCCCCATTTTACCCTTTCTCGTCAACCATACCAACCCTGAAGAATAATTCTCAATTAGACTTTGAAACCATCAAACCGAAAACTTCCACGTGATTCAGAGGCTTACTCTGATTTTGACAAATCCCCGACATGTATGTATGTGTTGTGTTGGTGTATGTAGAGATCACAGAGATAATATAGTAAAAATGTAACATGTATTTTACATATTTGGTTCAAACTAACATGTATGCATGCTTCGGTTTTAATAAACACTAACCAAATCCTACGTTGCAGCGAGAATGGTGCCATCAACACAATCTAGTCTTTTGATTAACGACTTGAAGTGCGACCATTTAATATTATTATTTTTTATCAAAATTACTATTAGGAGTTATTGGAGGCGACATTTATTTAATCATTGTTTAGTCAACAAGGTGATGATGATGTGGCGTTATTAAACCAAGATACGGCCTTCCATGACAGTAATAGCTTTGCCCCGGAGCTGGACTCTCTCCGTCTCCATGTCCAAATGAATCCTCAACGTCCCGCCCCTTCTCGACACCTAACTCAAAAATTTCCACAACCCGACCATCATTGTCAATTGGATATACAGTCATTTGCTCTATCATCGGGTTTTTTTTTTCAACCCTAACCAGGAAAGTAAAAAAAAAAAGATTGATACTGTTTCCTGTGATGAATCTTTAAAGTTGTAGGGACTCTTTTATTGCTGGGAAACCACAGATTCATTCTCCAGCACCACAGGAGAATCTACTTAACATTGCCTTGAAAAGGTTGAGAGAGTCATACATACCTGTTGAGCAAGGAAATCACACTTGTTGAGCTTGAGGCTCCAGTAATGCGCCAATGCACAATGAGCACTTCCGCAAACAGGATCCTGAAAGGAGGGACAATGGACCAGCAAAAGCTTCACATGGTATATATTCCTTTTAGCCATGAAAGTAACAGCCACTTTTTACCTCATCAATCCCTAACTGTGGGGCAAAGTATCGACTACAGAAATCGTAGGCAGATCCCGCAGGAGCAGCAGCTGTCACAATTATCCCTTGGCCAGGGATTTTCGCTATCTCGTCGATTCTTGGCTGCAGTTCATCGACAGATTCCCATGATGGAAGCACGGCCTGGAAACAAATGCATTGAAAATGATTCTGAACTTTACTAATGATTGAGTCAAAGTTCAAAGAGTGAAGCAAAAGATTAGGGATAGATCACCAAATGTGAAAACAACACAACAATTCTGTTCAAGAATAGTTACTCCCACTATCACGCTTGCAACCTAAAACAATAAGATTAAAAAAAAAGGAGGGGGGGGGGATTTAAAAGCGTCGTAAAATGCTCTTACGATGATTATATCTGATGTACATTGTTTGACATCAACAATGGTGGCTCCATTCAATGCTTTGGACAACATGGAGACATCACTGGAACTGTATTCACGTGTCTGAATTACAGGGAAGTCCAATTCGATGAAAAAGGATTCCTCTTTCACTTCACCACCGCCATGGAACTCTGAGTTGTCTGGAATTCTTTTAGCCGTTAGAATGCCAGAGTTTGTGGCAAACTCGACGATCTCGGAATTGACCAACCCGTTTGAGAAGAGGGCGTGAGCAGATGCTAACGTTGCATGACCACAGAGATCCACCTGAGAGCAAAAAACATGCTTTCCTCATCGAAATTTAGCTGAATCTTTCATCATCATTCAAACCCATATCTTGAAATTTCAAGCTCTGAACATGGTTGACAGATTAAGCACAATTTCACTGGGCAAGTATGACAACTGCCAAGTTAAAGTGGCATTCGGATAACAAGAAGCAAAGGAAATGTCGCAGTATCTCTTAAATCATGAAAATGATTAGAGATTTTGAATGTTCAGCGTATGGAATTGATTCAAGACATGCACACCATTTCATCGACTCAAGAACAGAATTTCACCACAAAACCCAGATATATAAACATCCCGAGTATGGGTTGAGAACTGGAATTGGGGATTTTCAGTCATCAGCACTGAAATCGAGAGTAAGTAAATATGTGAGCCAGAACCCAACGTTATCCCCAGAAGAAAAAACCAAATAATCAGAAGGGAGATCGAAAGGAAAATCGGAAACCGTGATAATGGAGAAGAGAGGAAAGGCAGGGAACCTCGGTGGCGGGAGTGAACCACCGGAGACGGAAGCGAGGAAAAGCGGAGCCGGCGATCGGAGTGAGGAAACATGTCTCGGAGATGTTGAATTCAGCGGCGAGAGACTGAAGCCAAGGCTCGTCTCTCTCGTCCTCGTCGCCGTCGAGAAAGCAAACCGCCGCAGGATTCCCCTTGAATGCCGAATCAGCGAAGGCATCGACCTGAATAACATTCATCCACCATCGAATCTCGACGCAGAAAATAAGAAGAAGACGAAGAAGAAGAAAGAAGAGATGAAGTACCACATAATACTTGACAGGCCTCTTCGCCATGGTAGTAGAACTAGAATTCTCTCTTCTTCTTCTTCTTCTTCCTCGTCGACTTTCAAGTTCTGATCGAGAGTTGTATGTTACAAGTGCAGGTTTTATCGGTCACTCTCTAATGGTCAAACAAGTTTTTTTTTTTTTTTTTTTTTTTTTTTTTTTTTTTTTTTTTTTTTTTGTATTCGCGATTTCCTCGAGATTTCCTTGAAGTTTCTTTGGTTGGTGATGAGATTTTAAAAATGTACTGGGTTTCTTTGGTTGGTGATGAGATTTTAAAAATGTACTGGCACTTTGGGAAAAACATTAGAGGGTGATGGACGGTTTGGCCGGATTGGTTCGGTTTATTATGGTTTGATTGGTCGATATTTGTATATAAACCATACTATTACTCATTTGGCTAAACAAATATTTCTTCAAATTCCATTTGAATTTCTATAAAACTCAATGTCCTAAGTTTGTCCTTAGTGGTACAGTTTACTGTGATTTGATTGATATATATACACACACGCATATATGTGTGTGTACGTTACGTATCTATACAGACCCACGTACACGTTGGGTAATACATGGTTAAACAGCTCATAGAACATGTCATCCAAGTAATAGACAGACCAAATGCACTCGAAAGTATATCCAAATTTGACAAATGAAAAAAACATGACGAAGCGATTAGTATTTTTGGACGATATAATCGACCGAAGCATATGGGGTGAGTTCATATCAATCGTGTGTTTTTTTTTTCTTTGGATCAAATTATGGGTTTCGAGATGTAAATATAATGAATCTGATTACCCACATTCGCTTCTTTGTTGGCAAGTAACCACTGGGCATATAATTGAAATTTGGATTTAATAAACAATCAATTCTGGAGTTCTTGAGGTTTTACGACCAAATGATTCGGCGCTTATTACAGAACTGAAAATAAAAAAAGGTGACGAGATTCTTGTCCATGTGCAGAAACATTACTTAGTACATGAATCAAACACGTAGAGGATTCGTAGATTTGGTAGAAGAATTGGCACTTACTGGAAATGTAACAGACGCAACCCCACGATCTATCAAGTTGGAAAACATCCTTGTGGGCCCCCGTAGTTCTTATGAAGATTTATCTCAGAATCTTCTAGAAAGTTCGAAAATGGCCCCTCAAAAACCAATAGCCCAATATCTTTACTGTAAATTGTTAAACAAGTGATTGGCGCGTTTGGGTGTTAATGCTAAATTTTCACATGGAGTGTTGTTTGTGAAGGGAATTTTACTCAAATGACCCACTTGGGTCGCACCTATTTCACGTGTACATTAGAAAAAAACATAATACTTTTTTTTTATTTGAAAAGACGAAATTACCCTTAATGAATACACGATTTTTATCCGTTCGAAAACAACTTCGTTATTACGACTTCGTAATTAATTCTAAATATAGTTACAATTGATTCTAAAAAAGGTGGCAAAAAAATCATCTGTCTTTTTTTAGTGGTATATCAATTATATGTTAGTCGTAATAAAGTCGCAAAAAATAAAACGAAAAGGGTATTTCGGACTTTTTCAACCGAAAAATGGGTTAATTTAAATTTTTTTTTTTCTCGGTGGTGTACGCTGAAATAGGTGCGACCCAACTGGGTTATTTGAGTAAAATTCCCGTTTGTGAAGATGGACAGAAATGATCTATGTATGTATATATATTGGAGACGTACAAATGAACACAACCGGCATATTATGAATTCACAGTCGCAACAAGAGCAACCAACGTGTGAAATAAAAACACCTAAAACGACATTTATCCAGTGGTACCAAAATCAGACTGGCACATATATCACATGAATCCCGAGAAACCATAGTGTATCGGCGGCACCGGTACGACGAAGTTACCGTCGCGATAAGAGGAGAACGCCGCGGTGTACATCCTCGGTGGCTCGTCGAAACATCTAGTGTACGAGGAAGGCATCGACTCGGCCTGCGGGACAAGACGTTTCGAGACGACCCGAGAGCCCATCCCATAGATGAATCCTTCGTACTCGCAGAGGTCTTTGCACCTCGCAGCCATCCGAACGAAAGCCTGGGCCGTCAATAGGCTGTCCGATCCTGCATGATGTGCGGATCCTTGACGGCTCACTCCGAGTTCGTCCGCCAGTTTCTCCAGTCCGAACCGCTGGTTGAGCCCTCTGATCCTCGATGCCATGGCTTTCATGTCGTACACTCTGCCAAGCGTCTTCCCCACCACGTCTGTGAATCCCTCTGACGTGCAGGGTAGGGGCGATCGGGTCATCATCTTGCTGAGGTAGGCGATGTCGTAAGACCCGTGGAAGGTGATCCATAACAGCTGCTCTTGAAATCTGATCATCCGAATGAACTCACGGAAGAACCCGTGAACGCAAACACCGTCCTCTCGGATCTGTTCGAAATCGAGACCGTTCTTCCGCAAAAAAGAGATCGAGTCCTCGTTCCTGGCATCCTCGGTTTCACTGAAGCCAGAGAAGTTGACTTCCCACGTACCGCCGATCCTGCAGTCGGAATCGAAGAGGGTGAATCCGAACTGGATGAGTTTGGTGCGATCGACGTTGAACTTCATGTCGGAGTATCGTTCGCACTCGGAAGAAGTCAAGGGCGTGTTCCGGAGACAGCCGGGAAACTCCGTATCGATCGCGATGAATGGACAAGAGGATAAACAGTCGGCGATCAATGCCATCTCTTCCGCCTGGTTATACCTCCAAATCTCCCGGATCATCTTCACTTGTGTCGTTTTTCTCTCTGGGTTCTGTCGTATTTCGAAGCGTAGGCAAGTAGTGACTGAGTGAGCGAGCAGATGTATTTATAGTAGTCACGAGGAACGAGGAAGGAGGAAAGGAAATTTTCCATTTCTTCCCCAGATAATGGAAAAATCCCCAGTTTCCATTTCGTTAACAGATTAATTTTGAATAATCATTTAATAATCCTTTTTTCAATGATTTTATCTTTTTTTATCAACGGGTGAAAAAAATGAAAAAAGGAAATCGAAATCCAAATGGCCGACGAAGTCAATCTCTGATAACTGAGGGATTTGCAAAGTTTCCATTTCGTTGAGAGATTAATTTCGAACAATCATTTAATTAATAATTCATATCTATTTTTTATTTCATTTTCCTTTTCCCTTCACCCAGACTCATTTTATTTTATTCAAATTTTGAATAATCATTATTTTATTAAATTTCATTTTATCAAAAAGGAAATTCATCCGCTGACTCAATCTCTCTCTCTCTCGCGGTTCTGATGGATATGCCGGTTATCGGAGCTGAGCCACGGTGTCCGCTTCTCCTAAACCCTAAACCTTCTTCTTCTTCCTCTGTTTCTCCTTTCGCCGTCTCGGCAGCGTCTCTCCGATGGCGTCGTCTCCTCGTTGCGGCGGCGACGGTGGCGGTTTCTCCGGTCGCCGATTTACCGGCAAGAAATGCGGCGGCGAATCGAACCAAGCGCCACTCTAGATTTTACTTGGCGAGGAAGTCCGCCATTGCTGAAGTAGAAGGGTCCCCTGATTTCCTCTCTTCCCTCCAGAGGTTTGTCATCAACTGGCACTCCCATTGTTTCTTCGCTATGGCTACTTATTTTGCCTGAAATTATGCCATTCCTTGCTGTTTCTGTTTCCGTTCCTCTGCGTAGTTGTTTGATAACGCGAATTTTCTTGACATCAAGAGAGAGAGAGGGGGAGAGGGAGAGGGAGAATAGCTGAATCCATTTTATTGCAGTTTCGATTGGTCTCGTGTTCTTGCTCAAGACTCAGTTTATTGAGCCAAAACAAAAGTGGGATCCTTTGATAATCAGGTTTCTTAGCATATTTTTGCACCCAACACTCTAAACGGTTTATCAGATGCAGAAATTACTGCATAGTCGAAATGCCACTATCATGGCGATAAAGTATGTGTTTGTGCCAATGTAAATTCTTGATAACAAGAAGAAAAGGGTCTATGAAATGGCTGTACTCCCCGAAACTGAAATGTCCGATATTATTTTTAGAAATTACCGGACTTGGCTGAAGTGGGTCAAGTTGATTATGTACTTATCGGTGATGTACAGACGCATAAATTTTTGTGGTTATATGATTCACTTGATGGACATGCTTTATCTTTTTATTCCTTGATTGATTCTTCTGCGAGCCTTGGCTAATTCAGGATTTTCTACAGATTAGAAAGGGTTTTGAAGGTGCAAGACTTAAATGTCATTTTGCGCGATTTCGGGAAATCTGGAAGATGGCAGGATCTTTTTCAGGTATTTTGATTTTGATCTACTGAAACAGTTCCTGAAGAAGGAAATGTCTGACTTTCTTGGTAATCATGCTCATTTAGGTTAATGGTTGTTACCTACTATCCCTGTTGCATTTACACGTATCTCTCCTTGATCTTTGGTTAAGTCTCATATATCTTGCTGAGAACAGATTTTTTCATGTGGTAAGCTCAACTTTCAGTTAATCTTTTCTTATCAGAAAATATTTAGCTACATAAAATCATGAAGATAACCAAAGCCTTTTTGCATGATAGAGTAGAAAGAATGTTGCTCGCCGACAAGTTTCTGTCACTTATTTCAGAAGCTAAGATTTGATTTGCTGTTCCCAGATGTGATGGTCAATGTCTGTTATTTCGGAATTGTTACAGCTCTTTGATTGGATGCAACAACATGGAAAGACAAATGTGGCAACTTATAGCAGCTACATAAAGTTAGTGGGGGGAAAAAGTACCTCGAAGGCTATAGAAATTTATGACAGCATCCCAGACGACTCAACCAAAGCTAATGTGTATATATGCAACTCCCTTCTTAGCTGCCTTGTCAAGAATGGAAAGTTCGAAAGCAGCATAAAATTGTTTGATAAGATGAAGCGTGATGGTCTGACACCTGATGTGATTACATATAATACGGTAAGCCAATTGAAGTTTTACATGACAGTAAATCGGAAACTAGTTCCCATGTCAATAACTATGTATAATTTTCTTCGAGTTAAGCCCAATGTAATGTTGTTCCCCTTTTGTTATAGATCCTTTCTCCAACTGTGAAAAGCTTACCTTCAATTGGTGAGGGAAAAATGGTTTTGGGCATTTTACTTGAAATGTCAGAATTTGCTGGAAAGCAGCTTTGACAACCATTATATGGATATACATGGTGTTTATCATCTCATATCCGTGTTTAAGTCAGATATATTCTGCTTTATGTGGGTTGATCATCCCTTCTGCATTAAATAACGGGTTGCCTAAATAAGGTTTTGCATTAAGGGAATAAAACATACAGGTAAGAGAACCAGAGTCAAATATTCAACATATTGTTTTCATTACCTTTGGTAATGGTGATTTCTTTTGTTGTCTTAGCTTCTTTCAGGTTGCATCAAAGTGAAAAACGGATACCCTAAAGCTATGGAGCTTATGGGAGAGTTGCCACATAGCGGAATACAAATGGACAGTGTAATGTATGGGACTGTCTTGGCCGTTTGCGCTTCAAATGGCCTGTGTGACGAAGCTCAAAGCTTTTTCAAGCAGATGAAGGGTGCAGGCCATTCACCGAACATTTATCATTATAGCTCCTTGCTCAATGCTTATTCTTCGAATGGAGATTACAAGAAAGCTGATGAATTGGTGGATGAGATGAAATTTGTAGGGTTAGTGCCAAATAAGGTTTGTTTCTATATATTCCCATCTCGGTATTGAGTGCTCATGCGATCATTGGAAGAGTGTTAACTTCACACCCTGTGACGGTTGGACTTGTGTGAATGACTTGATATGGCTTAATAACCATTTCGAGAAGGTAACTCTAGCTGCACATATTTGCAGGTGATTATGACAACTTTACTGAAGGTGTATATAAGAGGAGGTTTATTTGATCGGTCAAGGGAATTACTAGCCGAACTTGAAGCTAGAGGCTATGCTGAAGATGAGGTTAGACAGTATTGCTTTTTAGCTAAGATGGCTCTAAAAGTTGAAAAGTACTATGATCAACTTTTAGACTGTCTTAAATGTTTGCCATGATCAAGTTGTTGTCAATACTCAAATAAGAGCAACATTCACTGTATGAACGCAAAAGCCTTAAATGGAGTGAAATCCAGTTTGATTGGGCATGTTATGAAGATTAATGGACCTGTAAATTCTGTGGATACATAGAACACATGATAGGTAGAAACATGACATATTGTCTGTTGTCTTGGTAGCTATCTTTAAGTAATAAAGCCTGGTCGATGACTCGATATATCCCTCCTATTTACCCTGTATACTTCTCATGGTTGATTATTTTTTTCTAATAGATGCCATACTGTTTATTAATGGATGGTTTTTCCAAGGCGGGAATGTTAGAGGAAGCAAGATCAATATTTGCTTATATGAATGGGAAAGGTGCTAAATCTGGTATGTTCTTTGTCACTGATAACTCAGCAAGTTAGCTTTAACATTGGATCCTGTCCAACTATTTTGTGGGGTTAGAGAGTGCATGAAATGATGTATTTTGAAGCAATTTTTCTGTTACTTGGACAGAAAAAATTGAAGCATATGCCCCTAGCAATTAATTATTATCTAACTTCCAAATCATGCATGTCATCTAACTTCGAAATCATGATCAATCGGGTGTAGAGCTTTTTCTTTTTTTGTCGTATATCTTGACTTCAGATTTTAACAACAGATCTGATGACTCTGACCCAATTTCTTTGAAGAAATTGTCTAGTTTCTTCCCCTCCTTACACAGATATTTGTTTCTTATTTCCTCGTTTTTAGATGGCTATGCCCACAGTATCATCATTTCAGCTTTATGTCGAAGTGAGCTTTTCGAGGAGGCAAAAGAGTTGGCTTTGGACTATGAAGCAAAGTATGGAAAGTGTGACTTGGTGATGTTCAACACAATGCTTTGTGCCTATTGCAGAGCAGGAGATATGGAAAGTGTTATGCGAACGATGAAGAAAATGGATGACTTAGCAATTAGTCCTGATTATAATACTTTCCATATCTTGATCAAATACTTCATCAAGGAGAAATTGCACGTTCTTGCTTACCGAACCATGCTTGACATGCATAGTAAAGGCCACCGGCCAGATGAGGTAAATAGCTTCCTTCGTCTTTACATTCCTTACAAAGCCTTTACCGTTATCTTTCTAATCCTTTTCTTCCACATTGAATTTTAAGTTTTGTCGATTTGTCTTCTATAGCTTTTATCGTCTTTGCTTTAATGGCTGTCGGATAAAGGGGTAAAAAAGTGGTGATATAGGCTCTTTGTTGATATGCTCTGAATCTCTTATGTTATGCAGGAACTGTGTTCTGTCTTAATCGGCCATCTCGGGAGGAAGAGAGCTCACTCGGAAGCATTATCGGTCTATAATATGCTGAGATACAGCAAAAGGAACATCTGCAAAGCAATACATGAGAAAATTCTGCACATTTTAATACAAGGGAAGCTACTTAAAGATGCTTATATTGTGGTGAAGGTTAGGAATCCTCTTTAGAGAGATACATTTCCCCCTTTTATTCCAATGTGGGAATGAATGTTATCTTCTAGATTTTGATGTTTCTTTGCAGGATAATGCAAAGTTGATTTCAAAGCCGGCCTTTAGGAAATTCGGAAGGGCGTTCATGAAAGCGGGTAATATCAACCAAATAAACGATGTCATGAAGGTCATGCATGGGTCTGGCCACAAAATTGATCAGGTGAGGGTTCAAACGGGATGGATCTTATGTTTCTAAATTATAACTTAGAGTGAATCGGATACCGATAAACACGTAAAAAAGTTTAATCAATTCCCTCCGGCAACGCTCTTTAATAATCATTTCGTTACAGCCAGAGTTCGAGATGGCAGTTTCCAGGTACATTTCGCAGCCAGAGAAGAAAGAGATGCTGCTTCAGCTGCTGCAATGGATGAATGGTCAAGGATATGCAGTGGACTCGTCCACTAGGAACCTCATCCTCAAGAACTCTCATTTGTTTGGAAGGCAACTGATCGCAGAGATCTTGTCAAAGAATCATTTGACCTCAAGACCACTGAAATCACAGCCTCAGATCAAATCTAAAGGTAAAAGATAAATAGGATTGACAGTTCTTGGCCTGAGAGAATGATGGTAGATATTAGACTTATAATCTTTGACATTTGCTTTGGTTGACCTTTTTAGGCAATCATAGCAACAAAAAAAAAAAAAAACTCACCTCCAAATTGGTATCTGTTGAATTTAGCTGTATATTAGGCCCGTATACGAGAACCTGTATTTTGGAAAAATAAATTATGATGCTTATATTGAGCTTTTCATCTTTGCTTTACCAAAGAATTACCTAATAGTAGAATATGTCTCTAATAACTGGGAGCAAAGTCCAAATCATCGGCTTCTTCTGTTCGTCTCCAATTAGAGTGAATTCTGTTTACTTTTTCCTTTTTTTTCCCTTTCTGGGTACCCGAGAAAACTCGAATTGTTGGGAGAAATCACGTGGCATGTGTTGTTTGGTGGGCCAGAAAATGAAGCAGAAACATACGAAGATAAGAAATCAGTTGTGGTGAATTCTTACGTGAGATTTGGATACGCAAATGAAGGAAATGTTGTTTTCACAAATCCAAAATGCTCTGTTTCCAAACATAAAAACAGACGACTCTTTTGTGCAACAAAAGCGTCATACAAACAACAACACATGCACGACACACAACTGTTTAAATATTTGGAAAGAGCATACTGATTGTGATTCAATTAAGAAAGACAACATGAGAGTATGGGAGAAAGAGATATCATGACAAAATGGGAGAAACACAAGGAGGAAAAAGAGGCTACATGGGAGAAAGGGACAACATGACGAGAGAAAAGTATAGAGCAACATGGAAAACGATAAACAATATAAAAGGAAAAGAAAAGCAATAATGTGCATAAAACGTGAAAACACATTAAGAGGATGAAGAGATATAAAAAGAAGTCTGCAGGTGTCCAAGTTGAGAGAAGCTAAAGTGTATTTGAGGGGAGTCCTCAAATAATATGTGAATCTTTCACAGACCTAGACGAATCTAGAATTACACGGGTGTGCTTAATACAAATAATGTATGCATTGATAGAATTTTTTTTGGTATGCGGTTTTGTTCGGTGGGAATAAAACGGGTGGTTGAGTGCTACTTCAACAAAAACGAGTTGTTATTAAAATTAAACTTGATTTTTTGGCTAATTTTTATTTTTGTACCAAAACAATTTTGGATCAAGTTTATAGATCATTGATCCAATAAACTAAACTCAAGATTAATTTTGATCCAATTTCTAGAAGTTCTTATAAAAAAAATATCTAGATTTTTACAATAATAAAATTATTATAAAATATTATAGAAAACTCTAGAAATTAAATATTTTAATGTATGAATAGTTATAATCATGGGGTAGAAATATCCCCTCCCCCATTTGTATCATCAAGAAAAATCAAAGAAATAAAAAGAGTCTTAAGTATAAATCTCTCTTCTAAGTGTTCTTCCAATTTCCTTCTTAGAGTTTTCTTAATTTTTTTGAATTCTTCTTTGGGTTGTTCGATCTAGGACCAGTGCTAAGCATTGCGAGAGGATTCTCTTGGTCTCCTCTTACATGGTATTAGAGCCTCTCTAATCTAGATCGAGGTTAGAGAACTCGAATCACTCTAAGTATGGAGTCGGTCGTGTAGTTGGATTGGGTATGGAAGTATTGACTCAACCTAATTACCGAAGTTGAAAATCATGGTTGTGATGCTCTATGATGATCGTACGATATGAGAACCTATGTATTATGATGAATTCATGGGATGAATGCATTGTTTGTTCATTATTTATTTTGCATATTTGATAAGTAATGACATCCATGGATCGTTATGAACGATCCTAAATTCCTTAGTCGCTTATCGTTGTGGGAGCAATGATGAATTAAGACTAACATAAGGCGTAATGGATGATCATAGTGATGATCATGTGTATTGGATACAGATCACGGTCATGGGTACTTGTTTGGAACAAATGACTGGATGACTCGCGTGAGATTGTCGATTGGATATAATCCATGACTTGAATCTCATATGATGGTTCGCTTTGGATCCTTAGACGCGAGATATCTATTGTATCCAACAGGAGGAGTAATGTACTTTGGCCGCGTCAAACGTTATCTTTAATCGGATGATTATAAAGGCGTGACTCGGGTATATTACGAATCATGTAGTGGATAGTAGATAGTCAAGATAGAACTTCGTCCCTCTCGAAAGAGAGAGATATTGCTGAGCCCGTCATATGAGTGAGACTGTGGAAATGTGTGGTCGCACTATAGATGAATGTCATCTATCTATTATAGTCTACTCGGGATATGACAAAGCAATCGAACTACGTTTCGATTTATGATATCGTGGGACAAAGAGGATCATCGTTAGAATTATCTCTGGCTTTCAGTTAGATCCGATCTAACTCTTTCTGGTACGGGTAATCATAATGTCTTGCTAGAGACCGCTTATGATTTGTAAAGCGAGATTGGATCTCGGGTTTACTGCCGTATTCGAAAGAGTCTAAACGAGCATACACATGGGAGACGTAGACGGACTTGGGAGACGCAGACGGACTTGGCAAAAAAAAAACTAGTCTGGTCCGGAGCTGACAAAATGTTGGTTCGGCGGCCCAGACCAGTCACCCCGATTTGTACGCGTTGCTTCAGACCTGGTTGGTCCGGCGGACCGGAATCTTGGTCCGTCGGACCAGACCAGTCTGGCTAACCAGTGCCCGTTGCGAACTGTAGGCAAGAAGTGTCAGTTGTGTGCTTTGTCCGGATGAGCAAGAGTTGGTCAGCTCCGGACCAAGACACTGAAAAATTCGAAAATGCGCTTTTCTCATCTTTTCTTGGTGGGAAGCAGGTGGGACGCAACCAGATTATCATTGATTCATTTCTCAGACCTTTGGAAGGTTTTAGGATGAGAGAAACTCTCCCAAGTATTCTCGAACACTCATATAAAGAGATTTGATCTCTAAGGTTCTAGCAAGCAAGATTCCAAATGTTGGAATCCATCTCAAAGGTCTGGACTACTCAAGAAGGTGTTGGCATCTTCAACACCTTGGTTGTGATCAACTAGCCACATTCGAATTGTGAATCTAAGGACTCAAAGGTTAGTTTTCTCTCTTGGAAGTTCTTCATCGAAATCGGTTGGTCCGTGGGCGGTTCAAAATCGTTTTGAACGCTAATTCCGCTACACAAATCCACAGACCAGATCCGAGCATGGTTATGAACCGGTGTGCAAGGATCCCGTGCGACCCAACAGGAAGTCTTGCATGCAATCTTATCTTAGAAGTGAAGACTTATGGGAGAATATTGTCGGAGGTAATAATACCATTGCTCCGACGGAAGATGTTTCAAGTGCCGAAGAAGTGAAAGAATGAGTGATCAAGAACGCCAAGGCAGATTTGCTCTTAAAAGGTCACTATCTCCGGTCTTGTTTGAGTATATAGAAAAGTATAACTCTACTAGTGAGATTTGGACGACATTAGAAAGATTATTCTATAAGAAAAATGAGGTTCATATGCAATACTTGGAGACGGCATTGGCGATTGCCAAGCAGTGGGAGTCATCCGTTTCACAATATTTTGTGAAGATAAAAAATTTGTGCTATGAAGTTAATTGTCTTAATGCAGACAAAAAAATTTCGGATGCACGTATGAGACAATGTATTATTCGAGGTCTACGAACTGAATATACACCGTTTGTGGCGTCGGTTCAAGGATGGTCCAAACAACCATCCATTGAAGAGTTTAAAAATTTATTATCTTCACAAGAAACATTGGCCATGCAAATGGCCGAAGTTAAAGTTAACGGGGAGCTAAGGAAAAGACCGTCGTCCAAGGAGGTGCTACGGAAAAATTCAAAAATCGTGTCAAGTGCTATCGGTGTGTGAAGTTTGGGCATATCAAGAAAAATTATCGTGTGAAACTACAACAAACCAACATTGGCGAAATCACAAGACATTATTGAAGATGAAGCACGGGAGAGATGTTTCATGGTTGATACTGCCTTAAAAAATTCGTCCACATCAGATCCTCTCACTTCTGAATGGATTGTAGACTCCGGTTGCAATCATCATATCACTGCAGATGACAAGTTATTTTCAAACTCTTGTCGCCATGACGGAAATGAAGCAATCATCACGATAGACAACTCTGTACACCATGTTGAGAAGAGAGGGATCGTTGTTATCAACAGAAATGAAGGAGGTCCAATCACACTTAAAGATGTATACCATGTGCCTAGAGAAAACAAAAATTTCCTCTCAGTGGTAAATGCGGTTGATTCAGGTAACTATGTGTTATTCGGCCCAAGAGACATCAAATTTTTAAGGAATATAAAAAATTTAGAAGCAGATGTGGTTCACATTGGAGCACGCATTAAAAATCTATACGTATTATTGGTGTCTAGCTCATATGTTGAGGAAATGAGCAGTAATGACAGTGCATCTCTTTGGTACGCGAGACTTGGACATATTAACATGGCCAAGCTCAAGATAATGGTGTAGAAAGACTTGGTGTATGGTCTCCCCAAGTTAAAGAGCCTTGATGTTGGTGAAGTTTGCGAAGGTTGTCAATATGGGAAGTTACATAGACTACCATTTGACTCATCAACTTCACGATGCACCGTCCCTCTGAAGAAGGTCCATAGTGACTTAATGGGTCCAACTAAAATGGCATCATACTCTGGATCGCACTATATGTTATTATTCATCGACGACTTTTCACAGTACACCTGGGTATACTTCGTGAAGAAAAAATCTAAGGTGTTCTCAAGATTTCAGGAATTTAAGGTCACCGTCGAAGGAGAGTTGGGACATAAGATCAAGACTCTAAGGATGGATAATGGAGAAGAGTTCACATCAAATGAGTTTCTCTCATTTTTCAGGCAACAAGGTATAAAAAGGGAACTGACGTGGCTACACACTCCTCAACAAAATAGAGTAGAAAACCGACAATCAGTTACCTTACTGAGACGTGTAAAAGTTGGTTACATCATAAAAGTCTACGGAAGGAACTTTGGGCAGAAGGAATGAAATGTGCAGCATACATCATCAACCGGATACCGCTCAACCATAACAATATGAAGACACCATATGAGATGTTGTAGGGGATGAAGCCAACGGTGAAACATCTCATGGTATTTGGATCTATCTGCTATGTTCATATACGAGAGTCTCAAAAGAAGTAAACTTGAGGCTAAAGCCATGAAATGTATATTTGTTGGCAACAATGAACATAGAAAAGGTTGAAGATGCATGAACATCTCAGGGTATTTGGATCCATCTGCATTGTTTCACATGATGTTGTGTTTAATGAAGTTTCCTGCTATTATGGGCCCAAGCAAGTTGTTCTTGATCAATAAGGATCAAGTTCTGAGATAAGAGGTTTAACAATAGAAAATTATGATGATAATTCTTCAGATGAGGTGCAAGAAGAAAGGGAAAACTCTTCTCAAGGAGACGAGGAACAAGAAGATCAAAGGACTAGTCAATGACCCAAGAGAAACATTGTGAAGCCAACAAGGTATAGAGACGAGAATTATGCCACTATTTACTTGTGTTTCTTTGCAGCTCTAATTGATGAAAAAGAACCTGCTTCATATGAAGAGGAAAAAGATACAAGAGAATGAAATAATGCAATGGAGGAGGAAATTGATGCACTCATGAAGAATGAAAATTGAGACTTGGTTCCAAAACCTGATAAAGTTCAACCAGTGTCTTGCAAATGGGTCTATCGGATCAAAAGGAAGGCTGATGGGAGTATTGAATGGTATAAGGCAAGATTGGTTACTCGAGGATTTTCTCAGAAATATGGAGAAGATTATGAAGAAACATTCAGTCTGGTGGCCAAAATGATCACGGTACGTGCAATCTTATCGCTCCCTGCAAGTTACAATTAGAAGCTATGGCAACTTGATGTGAAGAATGCATTCTTATACGGAGAACTAGATACGAACATTTATATGGAGCAACCGTCGGGTTCATTTCACCAAAATATCCAGGTTATGTTTGCAAACTCAAGAAATCTTTATGGTTTGAAACAAGCTCCTCGAGCATGGTATGGAAAAATTACTTAATACCTGCTATTTTGTAGATATATGGCTTCAAATTTCGATCCAAGCTTATTCGTTATAAAACATGAAGGCAACCATATTATTGTTCTGCTATATGTTAATGATCTGATCATAACAAAAAATAATGATGAAGAGACTTCTCGCCTTCAAGAAGAGATGTCATGAAGGTTTGAAATGAAGAGATTGGGAGAGTTGAACACATTTCTTGGGTTGGAAGTTAAGAAGATGAATAATGGCATCTTCATCGGTCAACAAATGTATGCAAGGAGAATTCTTGAGAGATTCAGAGTGAATGAAGGAAAAATCTGTTCAACCCCACTAGATGTGAATATAAAGCTCAGGCGAGATGAAGGGTCTTTGTTATGTGATCCTCGACCTTATCGTGCTCTCGTTGAAAGCCTATTTATATATGACCATCATGTGACCATATATTGCATTCTCAGTTGGGCTTGTTAGTCGGTTCATGCAAGCACCAAGAAAATCTCGCTTAGAAGCTACGAAGAGCATTCTGAAGTACATCAATACTACTCTTGATATGAGTTTTTTTTTTTAAAAAGTAATTCAGAATTTTCACTCTATGGCTTCACAGATGCTAACTTTGGTGGTGATCTAGATGATAGAAGATATATTTCTGGTTATATCTTCTTATGCGGCGACTCAAGTATCTCCTGGTGCAGTAAGAAACAAGGTTCGGTGTCCTTATCAACAACCGAAGCAGAATACAAGGTCTCGACGCTTGCAGTTCAGGAGTGCATATGGGTTCGACGACTTCTTGAAGATCTAAATGTACATATCAACAAATCAACTCCACTTTTTGGAGACAATCAAAGTGTCCTCAAACTAGCGAACAATCATGTGTTTCATACAAGGACAAAGGACATTCAAAACGGAGGATAAAAATGAAAATTTTTTACTATTAGATAATCATAATACTCTTCGCTTACAACTCAATTACTTTGTCTACATTTTGGAAAAAAACATAACTCAAACCTCTCTATTACTTTGGCATTGTTAAGGTGAAGAGAGTATAATATAAGTTTAAATACTTAATATACAATTTTCGTGCGATTTTTGTACAAACAAGTTTTAAAAAACATAATGATTATATTTATGTAAAAATTTCTATACAGTTTTCATATCAAAATATTATTATAAGTTTTATATATTTTTTTAGATTAAAGAGATAGTATTAAATTTAACTATTCTATTTATTTTATCTCATTAAAATTGTTAAATTGAAGTAAAGCAAACTAAAAATTATCTTGATAGAATGTAACCATTTTTCACTTCAATTATATAAAACACATCTCTCATTTTTGTTATTAGTTCGGTTGATTTCAAGTCATACTAACACTACAAACATTTTTTGTCAGTCATTTTTTTTTTCCGCTCATGTAAGTGGAAGATTAGGGAGTATTATATTATCAAAACGTTTAGTCACTCTACCTTGTGTAATCCAAACAAGAGAGAGAGATAATGGTGAGGAAGATATCTACGTGGTTGAATAAAGCAAGACCATCCATAGTCGTGGTCTTCTTGCAAATAAGGTTTATGGGTAAGGATCTTCGTTCAAATGCAACACTAACAAAAGGTATGAGTAACTATGTCTTGGTGGTATACCGGCATACCGTGGTAACAGTAACTATGACCCCTTTTGCCTTCTATTTTGATAGGCAAATACCTCAACACACACGTAACATAGACAATAATTTTTTCTTTCATTGTGTATATATAGTTTGGCTGATTTTAAATCACTAGAGCAACTTTGTTTTTTTTTTGGGTGGAAGGGGAAAAGATCATACAAGATCTTATAACTCAATTACTTTATCTACACTTTGAAAAAAGACATAACTCAAACCTTTCTATTACTTTGACAATCAGAGTGGATTGGCAAGGGATATAGAACTCTTTAGTCAAAACAAAAATTCCGTTTAATCGAATCATTTATTTTCGTTTGTTTGTTGTGGTAGATGTCTCATTTTAAGATAAGATTTATTGATTGTAATCTTATTTTCAGTACACTTATTACTTAATCTTTCTATGTTTCTAATATTAATACTTTCTAATATTACTAATATTAAAATAAATAAATTAATATAAGTTAAATACTTAATATACAATTTTTCGTGTAATTTTTGTACAAATAAGTTTTAAAAAACATGATGATTATATTTATGTGAAAATTTCTATACAGTTTTCGTATCAAAATATCACTATAAATTTTATATATATTTTTAGATTAAAGAGATATTATTAAATTTCACTATTCTATTTATTTTATCTCATTAAAATTGTCAAATTGAAATAAAGCAAACTAACAATTATCTTGATGGAATGTAACCATTTTCACTTCAATTATATAAAACACATCTCATATTTTTGTTATATAGTTCGGTTGATTTCAAGTCATATTAACAGTACAAACATTTTTTGTCAGTCATTTTTTTTCGCTTATGTAAGTGGGAGATTAGGGAGTATTATCAAAACGTTTAGTCACTCTATCTTGTGTAATCCAAAAAAGAGAGAGAGATAATGGTGAGAAAGATATCTACGTGGTTGAAGAAGGTGAGACCATTCATAGTTGTGGTCTTCTTGCAAACGGGGCTTGTGGGTAAGGATTTTCTTTCAAATGCAACACTAACAAAAGGCATGAGTAATTATGTCTTGGTGGTATGCCGACATATCGTGGTAACAGTAACTATGACCCCTTTTGCCTTCTATTTTGATAGGTAAGTACCTTAACACACACGTAACATAGACAAAATAATTTTTTCTTTCATTGTGTATATATAGTTCGGCTTATTTTAAAATCACTAGAGCAACTTTGTTTTTTTTGGGGGAGAGGGGAAATTGAACAGATCATTCAAGATCTTACAACTCAATTAATTTGCCTACACTTTGAAAAAAAGACATAATCCAAATCTTTCTATTACTTTGACATTGTTAAGATGAAGACAATATAATATAAGTTCAAATACTTAATATACAATTTTCGTACGATTTTTGTACAAAAAATTTTTAAAAAACATAATGATTATATTTATGTAAAAATTTCTATACAGTTTTCATATCAAAATATCATTATAAGTTTTATATATTTTTTTAGATTAAAGAGATATTATTAAATTTAACTATTCTATTTATTTTATCTCATTAAAATTGTTAAATTGAAATAAAGCAAACTAAAAATTATCTTGATGGAATGTAACCATTTTTCACTTCAATTATATAAAACACATCTTATATTTTTTGTTATATAGTTCGGTAGATTTCAAGTCATACTAACAGTACAAATATTTTTTGTCAATCATTTTTTTTTCCGCTCAAGTAAGTGGGAGATTAGAGAGTATTATCAAAATGTTTAGTCACTCTATCTTGTGTAATCCAAACAAGAGAGAGAGATAATGGTGAGGAAGATATGTACGTGGTTGAAGAAGGCGAGACCATTCATAGTCGTGGTCTTCTTGCAAACGGGGTTTGTGGGTAAGGATCTTCTTTCAAATGTAACACTAACAAAAGGCATGACCAATTATGTCTTGGTGGTATGCCGACATACCGTGGCAAGAGTAACTATGACTCCTTTTGCCTTCTATTTTGATAGGTAAGTACTTCAACACACACGTAATATAGACAAAATAATTTTTCCTTTCATGTATATATAGTTTGGCTGATTTTAAATCATTAGAGCAATTTTGTTTTTTTTAGGGGGAATTGAACAGATGTTACAAGATTAGGAGACGAAGAGAACCTGACTTCCAAAAGAAAGATCTGAGAAGGTTAGCAAAAACGTTATCTTGTTTTATTATATATAAGATATATGTATCTAAGTGGTTGATGAATAAACTGTTGGATGGGTTGTGGGCAGGTCTCAAAGGAAGCAAAAAAACTTAAGAGATGGTTTAGATGAGAAAGAGCGAGGACAGCAGAAGTGAGTTTTGCAAGTGAGTTTTGCGTCTCTCTACTTGGTCTCGTACGTATCATTAAAAACAAAACACATTTATTGATATTTGTCAGACAGCCAAAAGGCGGTGAATAGGGCACCAAAGCCAAAGATTGAGAAAAAAGAGAGAGAGGAACGACGCCAAAAGGCGGTGATGACAAAACCCACGAATCTGCTAAGGGAGAAAGCTAGGATAAACACACCCACTCATATTTATCTTATACTCCTCTTCTTGAGTTTTTGTTTCTTTTTTTATTTTAAAAAAAAATAGTATTGTAAAAAACTCCCCATTTATCACAACCCTCAAGCTACATCATCATTACACATCTGCCCGAATACAAATCAAATCTTTAATGAGCCTCTCAATTCTCAAATGACCTAAATTCCCCAAATCTATCAGAACAGACACAAAGGCTCTTTTCTTTTTTTAACAAACATGGGTCATATTTGGAGATCAATCGTAAGGGTTCCTGAAGTTTTTCAAGAGCTCAGGAATGTCATAACCCAACATATCATCAACGGCTTGTATGAGTTTCGGCTTTAGCTTCTCGAACTTGTCGATGTTGTAACCTGTCAGAACCTCCCTGAACTGTTCCACATTCGGAAAATCCCCTCTCGGTAAATGATGCTCTCTCTGTACCTGTCGGGAAAACGACGATAGTTTAAATGAATGGGTGAAACAGGCGATGAAGAAAAAGAATCGGGGTCAAACCTTGCCAAACACATCTTCCAAGTTATCGATGAGTTTCTGTTGCACTTTGGCCTTGCCCATTAAGGCCGGCATCTCCTTTTTCAGGTGGCTGATGATGTACGCGTGTATCTTGGCAGCTCTCGCCCGTTTTACAAATTCATTTATCTGAACATAAGAACCTTACCTTGTCAGAGGTCCTATCCTTCTTATTAACAGAGAGGGGAATAAAGTTTTTGTACTCACCCGACGATCACAGGCTTTCTTTGGGATGTCTTTCAAATCAGCTAGAAGGTCTTCTTGCTCCTTTTCAAACAATTCTTTCCCAATGGGACCAGTGAAAGCTTCATCTATGGGTTTATCACTGAAGGATCTGTCCAAGGCAATCAAACAGCTATAAGAACATGAACTTTAGTTTCAAACCGCTTTCATGTTGTTCTTATTTTCAGATTTCAAGAAATCAGGCATTATCTTTATGTAAAAGTTGATTATTGGGTATTTCTATGTGGACAAGACTTACCCGATATAAACACGAACAACTTCAGGAGTGTTGAGAACTTTCCCAAGTGACCACATCAGGGCTCCATATACCCTCATTAGCTACACAAGAGACCGAAATCAACATGTTAAGAATATAATAGGGAAGGACAGAAACAAATGCCGAAATTCAGAATGAACATGGGTGTGCAATATCCTGGGGATCCGACCTGTTGAGTGTCTACTTGGTCTGCCTTATTCAGAACAACACGGATCTTATCATCATGACCACGCAAAGATGAGATAACACGCTTGAACTCATCGCTTACATCCAGCTTGTGTGGATCAAACAGAAGGAGAATGAGATCACACTTTGCAGCAAACCATGACGTAACTCCAGTGAAATCATATGCTCGTTGTGTCCGTTGCTTTTCCCCCGACAAAACTCCTGGTGTGTCGACAAACGTTATATGCTCCAGTAGCTTTACCAGATAAATGAATCTACGATTAGTAGCGAAGTAATGTAACCACAAGGAATTCATCTTCTTTGGGAAGAGTTATATTGAACCTACAGGGTGAGGCATTTGAGAACATTCAAACTTTGACAGAAAAGCAGTCCCGAAACTTATAAGACCATTGAATGGCATATCTGCTTGAACTGCAACTGTGTTACCAGGAATGCTTCTTTCATCAGGTCCAGACTGTGAAACACACAATCAAGGGATTAATTTCTTACTTCCTGGAAGCGGAAAATGAAGCAAACTAACGACTCTTGTCAAAAAACTAGTTCGAACAGTGTAATCAACACAAAATTCAAGTGTTTAACAAATCAGATGCATAAAAGTTTGATAGGTGTAGGTGGGATGGACAAGTATGTGTTTAGGTAGATTCGTTGAACCTAGACTATAGTTAGTATGTGGTTGTTTTGTCAGTTAGTAGTTAGTTCCAGCAATCAATTGCTATAAAGGGAAGTTAGATAGATTAAAAGGATGATTCATGGTTGTTTTCAGTAAAGGGGTTGTAAGGAGAATGAGAGTTTGGGACCTCTCATAAAACAAGATCATCCAAAAGTGTATGTTTTCTGTTTCTGTGTTCAATAAAGGATCGGATTTGTGCTGGAAATCCGAGTTTCAGATTCGGAAACTTATCAAAGTTTCCACTGGTTAATGAACCAATCAAGATACGAAAACATTGACAATAAAAAGATTTCAAGTAAAAGCATGAGATATTTTCATTTGTCACACTAGGAAATTCACTCTGTAAACATAAGGTAAACTTCAATAAATACCAAATCATGAACTTCAACGCGCAAGTAGAATTGAGGATAATCAATGTCAACACTTATTTAACAGGTTCAACAGGATTCAGATTTACATACCATGACAACAACAAATCTGTCCGTTGTTGGTTCGGGTCCAATATGCGCTCCTGAAGAAATAATATTTGAGTTAGAAAAAAGCTGTTGCACATTTAAATCATGAAATTGCAGGAATATCGTCTTGTGTCAGCACCAGAATAATTTTCAGTTGAGGGAGAAGGGAGAGAATAAGATGGAGAAATACCTGGATAACTAGTTTTAAGCAAATGCTTAATGAAGGTCGTTTTCCCCGTGGAGTACTGGCCCAAAAGCATGACCATAGGCTTGGCATCGAAATCACTGTTAGTCTGAACAAAACACAATAATTAGTCAAATAACCCAATAAATTTTAGCATATCATCATTATTGAAACTTTAACGAGACTTGTCCAGATATTTCTATGGATAGTACTCAAAGCAATGTTCAACTTACCAACAATGGGGATACAAAATCATTAAAGCGATAAGTGGCTTCGAGCGGTTTCAGCTTTTGGATGTATAACCTCTTCAACCCATCAATTATAGATGTAACAGAGGAGATAGGAATCTGAGGACAAGGAATTAAATTTACTCAAAACATTCCATCAAGGCATGTATTGCACGAAAATGCTCAAGATGTACAATGGATCAAGAAACGAGGATGCTTGAAGCATTTAAGATTAGCTCGACAGAATTTCTACTGATAAATTTTGTGAATAGTGAATAACAGGATAAGAAAGAGAGATCAAAACACAAATACCAAGTATTTAATAATCGAAAAATTCTGAAGAAAATAAATTACAAGTGGTTAAACATTGTCGGGAGTAAAACAGACCTTTTTTGAAGATTTTGAAGAAAACCAAGCAGCCGAAAGTGATGTCTGCACAGGGGTACTACCTGTACAATATGAAAATTCTCAAATGGGATACAATTGTCAAAGTTAACAACCACGACTGCTTATAAAGAGATACTTCTTACTGTTTACATCAGGATCAGACAACTGTGGTGAATGCTTCTTCTTCTTGTTCTTCTGTAATCATCAAACAATTGTCAGTACAAACAATTTAAACACAACAACTGTGGTGAATGCATCTTCTTCTTTTGTAATTATTACACAATTTTTAGTACAAACAATTTAAACACCAAGACTTAAAACTGGAAAAATACGAGTGTAATACTGACCGCCACTAATACATCCAGACCTTCCATGGTAGGAGGACTCAAATTTCTGAAGTCGACTGCAGTTAAGCGAAAAAATTCAGCACCGCGAGCCACCATTTTCTTAGCATATAAATTAACAAGAGTAGGAAAATCAATGCGACAATGGTAATTTATGTACTGAAAACTTGAGCAGGAGTTCTACTACGAAACATAATATATATACGAAGATTAAACATCATACCATCACTGTTAAGAACTTCATGCGATATTTCACGTCCAGCTTGTGCCAAAGAAACTAGCTATAATATATACAAGTAATACTATGTTAGATTCTTAACTAGATATGTAAATCCGAGCGCGAAATACGCAAGGGTCTCAACCTGCATGGCAATGACAAATTCTCTGAAACCAAGATAGCCCTGTCGTTTTGAATCCGCGATGGCCCAGACCTAGTGTAAAGTCATAACTGTAACAGTCAGCATCTGAGTATAAAACAGTGAGACGAAGCAGAAAAAGGCAAACCACTTTCTAAAAGAGACCAATGAAAAAACTAATAGAATATACCATTCCCAAACTCAAAAGCATCGATGCTTACAACCTTCAGAAAAACTATCAGCCGAAGAGTGTGAGTACTGATTAAATCCTAAGCATTTGAGTAAGCTCTCGTGTGTGTAATTGTGGCAGCTTATTGTAGATTAATAATGAAATTATCCTCAATAGTACATGATCTTATCCAGAGAGAGAGAGAGAGAGAGAGCCTCTATTTGTTTAATTCAGGAAAGTAACTAAATCCTATGCTTTTAAGCTTGAAAACCCTTCAAGTCATCACGCATATGCTTCCTCTCAATACTTTGAAGGAAACACTCTTCATCATCATCATCATCATGCCCAAATGAACTTATCAAGTGTGTACAAAACAAACAGCACTAAGAAATATGAAAAATAGGAGAATATTAAATTCCTAAGATTAACCTGTTCACAAGTTCACACAAGTCAGCATCATGAAGAGCATTCAGAAATATCCTAACCTGCTTCAGCTCTGCTCGAGACAAATTCGACATCGCAAAGAATTTGATCGCGTCGTTACCAGTAATGCGGCCATCGCTGTCTGTTCATTGCACAATCACAGAAAACTACTTATTATCAAGACAACATCGGAGAAAAAGAAACCGCAAAAACCCGCCCTTGTATAGAGAAAACCCGGAATCAAGCTGAAAAATAAAAGAAGGGATAGTGGAAAAAACACGCGACCTGAATCGGCGAAATCGAACCACTCTTGATAGATCATCTGATTCTCCTTGGAGCAAGAGCCTGCTGCAACCGAATCGATCTCCATCGCGGGTTGCAGAGAAATTAGGGTTTATAGTTCAAATGCTGTTCCGATCTCAAGCGAGGATCCACATATGAGAAATTCCAGGATGTGTTTAACTTGCAGATGGGAAATAACGAGGTTTTTGCGCGTGATTCTGTTTTCAGAGAATCGAGCAAGGCAAGGCACGGGGAAGGAAACCAATTAATATCCATGTTTAGTGATACAAAATAAGTACCCGTAATTTTCTAAACAACTGAATAGTCACCCCTACATTCCATTTTCGCTTTTTCTACCCCTCCCATTTATTTTTTTAAGATTTCTCTCTCTTTTTTAATTTTTCTCCAATAAAAATACATTACCAAATGGCGCAAGGTCGAGACTCGAAGTAGGATTGCGAGGAATTTGGTCCCTTACAGGTTTTATATGAACGATCATGTAATTGATATTATTATTCGATTCCGTCCAAATTACATATCATAGGACTTGGGTTTAAATTAGTTAAATAACACGTTTAAAAACCGAATTATTAATCTGTTTATAACTCAACTTCCTTCAAGGATGATATAAAAAAGGTAACATTTCGTAAGATAACAGCCTACATACCATTTATACTAACACATCATCTGTATTCTGTATATCGTACAAAAACATCGTTTGCGATGACCTGTCCAAAACCATTCACCAATCAATCACTCGCTCAAGGGAGGCCGGACGATTTCAATATGAAGTAACCCTTCTCTTGAAGGCTTCTCAAGACTTTCCCAAACATATCAAGAGATTTAGAATCCAATATCCCCACCAAGAAGATTCATTTCCAATTTCACCAAATGTCTCTGCATTGCAAGTGACAGGTAAAATGTTGTGGAAGAACGGATATCGATACCTTACAAGGCCCTGACGTTAACACGATGTATATCGCCAAGCCGTCCCGTAAGAAAATATCACCACTGGCATCATCTTCAGATGAAACCACCGAGCCGCATCAACCTTACTTCTACAAACTTTGGCTGATAGAAAAGGACGATACCGCGTTACAGATCCAACCCATAGACCGGCCCTTGGATTTCAAAAAGATAGGAAAATATGAGTAGCAAATATGAGAGGAACAAACAATATAAGAGGGACTCAGACATGAATTAAAGGGATAGAGCTTGTACATATGTTCATCGCAATGTTATTAATTGCACCTACATATGAAGCAATAGCTACCTCGATGTTCTTCAAAGTGAAAATCAGACTGTAGATTGACTTCTGAATGAGTTCAGTGTTCTCAGGAGTCATAATGGATGAATTAACCTTTCTGCAAGGAAAAAAGGAAACAAAGCTTTTGTTAGAATATATACAGTCCCACAGAGAAATGATTAGGTCTCATAATCCGTTATATTTCAAGCTTTGCATCAAACTCTACCTTTTGTTTACAAAAATAGGACTATATCACTATAATCATCGATAAACCTTAAGGGTTTAGATTCAAAAGAAGGCAGCCACAGGAGGTCAATAGAACGTAATGAAATGCTGCTACTTGCTAGTGAAGAGTCCTAGTGATTCAAACACAGGAAATGCAAGAAAATACAAGATGGAAGAGCCACTAACCCAATGGAGATGGTAGTTTCATTAAGGCGGATGAGGAAAAGGCTCAAAACTCCATAAATACCTTAACAGAAAATAGGCAACAAATAGCGAACAAAGACAAATTTCCATGGATAAGGTACTTATATGACAGAAGCAGCAGATTTCATTTCAGATAATTCGAAAGGCAAATATGCTATCTCATCCAGCTTGTAGAGACTATTAGTCTTTGTGAAGCAAGTGCGTGACCAATTCAAATTTAAAACAAAAGATGAAAAGATTGGAAGAAAATGATGAGTCTGAATTCTGTGCAGGGTTCAGTAACAATATTAGCATACAGTAATCTGCAAATATGCAATTAAGATTGCTTTGACAATTAATATTACCATGCAGTAAACTAGGAGAGACATTGCCTGTAAAGACGCAAATAAAATTGATCTGGCCATTGTATGGCCAACGCCTCAAAGATTTTTTATTTCCTAGTTCCTAGGGCATGACATGTATTACCTCCACTTTATTGCACTACTTGAAGATTATTTCCAATGCAGTCTTAGAAATGGATGATCACAGAGAATATGGAAAGATTACTACACTAAAAAAAAGGCATACAGGAGAAAGAGGTCACCTCAAATCCTCAGAATCTTGTGTTAGGTTTTGAGTTAGATTCTCAACTTCCTTGAGCAAGCCACTATCACAAAACTCTGAAAGCAGTGGTTGGATCTGAGATATCACTACATCAAAGCCAAAACTAAAGTATGAGTATCCATTTCAATCTACAATCTTAAACTCACCGCTATCAATGCATGGATGGATAGTGTAAATGTATAACTAAATCAGAAAACACCAAGAAAGTTATTACTCATATCACCCTTCTGAGCAATGATTTTGCTTCTTCAATAACCGAAGCAACTCATTCAGCTAATGAATATGTATTGGCAACACCAATCTCCCCCATTTCACGCCCAATACGAGTGAATATCACAACCAGAACATCTAAACTTACTCCTTGATATCCCATTATCTTTTGCCAATCGCACACAATCAAGCCTTCTTTATCACATTCAGGATGCAAAGGCCCGACTGAAGGACCTGGAATTGGATCCCTTGGAGTAATGTCAATCATAGTTTCCATCAGAAGACCAGACTGATTTACCTCTACCAGCGAATTCCTCGGGATAATTATCTTGTCATCATCAATCTACAAACACACGAGCTGGATTTTAGCCACAGTTCATACAAGAAAACAAACAAAACTGGCAGCAGAAACAACCCAAAATAGTCAAACCATATCACTGTTCCGAATCATGCCTCAGCAACAGCTTCAATGTTCTTCAAGGAAGGATTGACACGGATTACATTACCGACATTTACTCCGCGGATTCTAACAGTGGTTCCTGTGCAAATTCCAGAGGCCTGAGGAAACTCAAAGACAGTCTGATATTTCCGGAACTTTGGTCGCATCTGAAATCCTCGCAACCACACCAAACTAAGAGCAAGAAGCGCCGCTCCAGATACAATAAACAAACCCACCCCACCTTCCCAAACACTTCGATGGCCGAACCCGAAATCACTCAATGGCCGTAAAGTCTGCCTCCAAATATTCCTCGGCACATTCAAAACAACAGTAAGCAGACCCTTACCCTCTGAGAAGGACGATGATTGCCCATGTTCTGCATCAGAGCTAGAAGAAGCTCTGACCAGAAAACCCCTAGTTCTAGATTTCGGCGGGAAACAAAGAAACCCATTGGAAGAAGCTCGTGGGCAAGCAATTACCACTGAAGATGATGGTACTGTACCAGGAGATGATGGAAGGTGAACTAACGAATTTCCGTTCATCCTCGAATCTTCGCGCACACAAAACCCTTAAATCAAAACAAAAACCCTTTTTCCCAGTAATTTCCAACTTCCGAGCTTGAGCACTGGAGGTTTCCGTCAAATGTTAGCAATTGAAATGAAAAAACATGTAAATTCCATGCGGTATTCTGCTTTAAGGATAAAACTAGAGAGCTATTTCGATTCGAGAATAGGATTCTACGAAGAGAGAGAACTTACCTGGGCCCAGTGACAGGGAATTGCGCCGTGAATCTGAGAATGGGTTCGTCCATATATTCATGCAGGGTATGTTCAAAAGCGAGAAAATCAGACGTGGAGATCGTCCGAGCGGGCAACGACTCGACAAACTAAGGTTTCAGCTCGAGGAAGGGCCCCGTGGGGGCTGGGAAAATCAGAACCACTTTCGCATCTATTTACGTGTGCACCACCAAAAACATAACACATTTTTTTTTCCAAAAAAAGACGAAATTACCCTTAATAAATCACGATATTTATCCGTTCGAAAACAACTTCGTTATTACGACTTCGTAATTAATTCTAAATATAGTTACAAAAAGGTGGCAAAAAATATTATCCGTCTTATTTTAGTTGTATATCAGTTATATGTTAGTCGCAAAAAAGTCGCAAAAAATAAAACGAAAAGGGTATTTTGGACTTTTTCAATCGAAAAGTGGGTTAAAATTGAAATTTTTTTTTTTTTTCCTGGGTGGTGTACCCTGAAATTGCTGCGAACTAAGTGGGTTATTAGGGTTAAAAACCCGTCGGGCTACAAGGATTACATAATATGGCAATATCGGGTTAGCGAAGTTTTCGAGTTTCGATAATCGCCAAGGTAGTCGTGGGCGTGTAGAATGGATGACAACCACATTAACCATTTTTGTGCAATTTTGGCACCTAAAGTTCCTGTACAAATTATGGGTGATGAATATAATATAAGCTCCGATTCTTTGACGAGCCAAAAGAGACGCCTTTATTATTATGGTGATGGCGACAAAGGTCCACCAATATGATATGATGAAACGCAGGTTATTGTACAACACCGAATGCAGGGAATTTTCAACCGATCAGTTCCATGAAAGAAAGCATACAACAGAGAATCAAATAAATTGCCATCCAGCAGATATATCATGTTTGAAGATGACATTGTATCGATCATCATCATCATCTGTATTCTTGGAAGTTGACATGACCAGTTGCTTGTGCATGCTCCACAGCCTCCTGTTGGAATATATACACACATTTAAAAGGGTATGAAATCAGTCAGAAGATACGAATTCAGATGGATATGGAAAATGGGTGTCAAGAGCTGTGACCTTTTGCCCGATTACTCCGATTTGGCAAACGCCGCAACGCAGAGTGAAGTTGGAAGTGTCGGTATAACTCCTTTTCCTGTCATAGACACCGATAATTGCCCCAAGATCATTCCGCATACCAAACCAGACAGAAAGCTAATGAATACACCGACAATCGGATCTTTCCCTGTCGACAGTTACATTTAAAAGGGTATGAAATCAGTCAGAAGATACGAATTCAGATGGATATGGAAAATGGGTGTCAAGAGCTGTGACCTTTTGCCCGATTACTCCGATTTGGCAAACGCCGCAACGCAGAGTGAAGTTGGAAGTGTCGGTATAACTCCTTTTCCTGTCATAGACACCGATAATTGCCCCAAGATCATTCCGCATACCAAACCAGACAGAAAGCTAATGAATACACCGACAATCGGAGCTTTCCCTATCAAAGTATTCACATATAGTTTCTTTGCCTTCATCCGCTTTACATGAATAAGTTTCTGAACTTCCAAAGAGAGCGTTAGTCATAAATTCCATAGTTTCAAAATCAAATCTCCAGTGTCGGTTTTCGATAAAATTTAATGCAGTGATTACCTTTGTTGGTCCTTAACTAAATTCAGAGCAAGCCCTTCAACTTGTCCGATGGACCTATCATTTCGGACTGGGAATATAGTCTGATCAAACTCCTCAGGAGCTCCCTCAAATGGAGATACCTGACAAATGCAAGAAATGTTTTCAGCCATTACATTGGATTGTATTACCTTTCTTGGAGAAAACATGAATAACTTACAGCTAAAGCATCATAGTGAAGACCGTCATAGATCAGCATAACCCTTTCCGCATAGTTTTTCTCCTGCCCAGATAAATAAGTGTAATTCCATAGTTTTATTCTGAAAGTGGATGCGGAAATGTAAGTGTTGAATTCAATACCTGACCATACAAGTCACACCGAGTGGTCTGAATGTCATAAGCTGCAATTTCCCGACCATAGAAATCTGCTAATATGGAGAGCTCGATTGCGCCTTCACAGACAAGAAGACAGACCAAAATGATCAGTACAATAACAAATCCACATCTTCCTAAACTTATATAACTTAATCAGGTCAAAACACATCTTGCTCGAGTAGAACCTGAACTTTAGACAGAATTCAATTACGAGTCCAAACGATTATGGAAATCGTTGAACTGTCTACACAAAGTGTGATGTTCTAGATTCTTTAGCAGCTAACACATTCCAACACCATAAAATAATGGCATTGTAATGAGACGGTAACCAGTTGCAGTACTCAGGCCACCAATAGTAGTGACCGACGATAATCTGAAATATCCCACCATGTAAACTTAAGAGAATGTACAAAGAGTGCCATGATGTTTTGTGGGCCATTTTCAAATGATGTTTAAAAATGTTTATCGAGCAAACATCAATTGGAAGGTGACGTAAAGGAAATGTGTTATATACAAAATGCATCAGAATTAAAACATATATAGCTACATCAAAAACATGATGTATAATTAGCTAATCAATGTTTTGCTAGCCTCGGTACACATACTCGATTGTGAATATAATCATACGCATGCAGAGATGGCGTTCTACGCTCTGCCAGGCAAACATAGATATAGTATATCAACACCAAGAACAAGAACCAAAATCTACATGAGAAAGAGGATGTAGAGAATAGTGGCCAAAGCTTATTCCTATCACATCTACATTAGTTACTCTCTGGTTTTCGCTTTCCTCAATATTTTCCTTCTTTAGACCCACCTCGATTCCTTTTCTTCGACATTCCTTTTTTGGTTAGGGTTTTGTTAATCATTTCACCATAAAAGAGGATGGACAGCTAATAAGAGTAAAAGATTTAAAAGCTTTGGCTTGAGTTTGTAACTTTAGAGTAGATTAACTAATCTATTTTAGATAAATCTCTCATTCCCATTCATTACTCGACAGCTTAACCAAAACATGATACAACTTCATCGACGTATGTCTCTCACTCATGTAATATCATCTAATAAATGTTTTGTTGGCATATAAAATTGTGCATACCTCCCCATTTTTCTGGATTGAGAATCCAAGCACAATATTCTTCATTCGGCTTCCCAAGAAATGCCTCATTGTACTTCTCTGGGTCGCTTGCAACAGTTGCAGCTATAACCTAAGAAGCAACGATAAGTCAACATATAAGAAAACCGAGTCGCAAGCCAATTTGAAACGTAAAAGACCAAAGAGATTCCTTGAACATAGTCCTTCCATAAATCTGATGGAATATTCCAGGTTTATAATTATTTTCAGCGGGATGTTTAGTAACATACTTACGTATCTCCGAATCTCATTAACGTATATGAAAAAAATAATATTAACTAATGTTACCTTTATCCGTAGAAACCCGATAATTCCATAACAAAGGAAGCGGAACACGGAATCAAAGCTAACTTAAAAGACTATGAAGTTATAGAAACCTGTCTCAGCTCTGCAGCTTTGCTTTTGTCATGGTCCATGACATATCTGTAAAAGGAACATCGACAATGAATGTATAAGCTCACATATTTTCTATAAACATTTTCCACCCAAAGCTTACCCGACAGCGTTGAACAGACAACTGTTGTCAGACTGAATAACCCTCCGAACGACAGCTCCTTCCATGTTATATGCCAAACAAGATATTCCTACAGACATTGCAAGACCTGATTAGTCAAAGCAAAAAGAGGGGGGAAAATCTCATATTATGAATATGCAGTAGTTTATTTCAAGAACCATCGTGGTAATTGGTAAATAATCACTCAACCAATAACCATGACAGACGAAATCCATCAACTACTTAACAATAAACTCAAACAAAGAGAATGCGGAGTATATGGATCCGATGAAATCTGACACCAAAACATTACATCTCTCTCAATAATCTTACGAAACCCACATCCAAAGCATTCAACTGCAAGCAAATCAGAGACAAATACCACACCACCAACTTCGCAAGAACCCTAACGACACACCACCAAGGGATCAATCACTGTTCTCACAAGCAAACAGAGAGGCAAGCGTTCTGTAAACGATGATAGATCATCCAAACAACGGAACGAAACAACAAATTTCGAAATGCCCAGATGAAAACTATACCAAACGCAATGAGAGATAGGGAATCCGATCAAATTTTCGTGAAGGAGAGGAAAAGGAAGAAGGCTTTATACAAAACCAAACCGAAGGGGCTTACCCAGAAATGAAAAAAAGGAAAAACGCCAAATCTGATAACTCAAATCCCGACCCAAAAAGGGAAATCCAGGGGGTCAAGATAACTAGGAATTTAGACACAGATTAAAAAAAATTCGTAAAAATAATTTAAAAAAAAAAAGTCGATCCATCAAGAGATATATACACGCGTGTACGATTTCACGAGTGTGTGCGCATATACATGTGTATAAATAAAACAAAAAGGTAGAAGAAAAACTCACGGTTTGGACAAGAGATTTGATCATGGGGGACGAAAATAGTGTAAGAAAACCTTTGGAGGTGTTTGATTTTGGATCTGATGTCGCCATTTGAAGCGCTTTCGCACTTAGGGTTACGCTTCCTCCCACTCAGCTGTCTTTTTGCACTCGTGTTCAGTAACTATAGGTTTTAACTGTGCTGTATATGCGTACATATTACCGGAACATGTCAGATTTTATATAATATATTATTTTGTAAAATTATATAGAAACTTGACAAATCAGATAGTTAATTATTGGATTATTGATAATTAAATTTTTTTAATAAATAAATGTTATAACCAGAAAGGTATTGCGAATAGAATCTTTTTATTGATTTGTGAAATTTATAATAATAATAAATGGTCTATTTATAGAAGAAAAAAAAAACAAAGTTAATATATATATTAAATATATATATATATACGCATAGCAAAGCGGTGGTGACGTATAAAACAAAAAATCTGTTAACGGTGCTCTACCATAATTTTTTTTTTTTGTCGAAGTGCTCTACCATAATTATTTATAACAATAACCCTATTTGATGAGGAATATAGTTCGGAAATAAAACCAAATTTTAAAATATATATATATACATATTATAATATACAAATTCACAGCCTTCGTAATTTATAATATTTTTCCGCAATTTTTTTTAAAATAGATAATTGTATTTACAAAAGCATGTGCATGAACAGGGGTTCCACATTTGGAATGCATATGTTAATTTGCATCAAAATAGCTTACAAGTCATTCCTACCCATTAGAATAAATTAATGGTTATGAAATGCTAAAGGTATGAGCATTAACACTCCAACATCAAGCGTGGATTCTCCGACCACAGTGATGCAAACTTGCCCACAAAAATCCGATCGATGAGCCTGAAAATTGTAACCTCATCGACCAAAAGATTCTGATGTATTCGATGGCTCCGTTCTATCCATATCGGATAGATCAAGAATTGTCATAAGATCATACATAATAGATAGGGATATCAAAATATGTTTGATTCGCGAGTCAATCCATATTTTATCAAATTGGGTTTAAAACATTCGAATAAAAAAATGGACCGAACGAATCATTTCGCACCGAATTCGAATTAGTTCGACGAGTTGGTCTACGAGGCAGGAAAAAAATATATTTTTTTGTTCTTTTTTTGATGATCGGGAAAAATTTAATAGAGAAAGAATCCGAAAAACAAAACAAGAATTAGAATTCTCTTAGAAAAAAGATTGGGAGAACAAATATTCGATACTAACTTTACTATCATAAATTTCAAACGACATTATAAATAGCATGGATGCTTCGCTTATAATTCTCATACATTGGTTTTACTAAGGCAATCTAATTCATTCAAATCAAATCCAATCACATTTATTTTGGATTAAACCAAATACCAACTTTTATTCTTTATAAATACCGATTTTCTTAGAAGCTTTAATCTAGTGGAATAGGATCGATGAGCAGAGACCGGATACGATCGACGGTGTTGGCCTTGTCGGGACAACCATGCCCATCTCCGTACTGGTACATGCACAGCGACATGCGCGCCAGGTTCATCGCCACTTCGATGAAACGCCGAGGGAGCGATGTCGAACCGCGTGCCGTTCTCTCTCGGTTGATCTCTTCCCACGTGTCTCTGATCATCTGCTTCACGTGCGCACGTGCCTCTGCCTCCGAAGCTCCCGTCTCGTGCATGTAACATTGGATCGATTTTGGGACATCCCCTCTTGCTAACTCGTCCTGTAACTCACAAGACATGCTTATAGAAACGTAAAACGTGGATCTGTTTTTTTTTCCAAACTTTTAAGTGAAAGATTTGTGTTTTGTAAATGATTTTCTTTATTATTGCGATTCCTAGTAAACGTTCCTCTTCAAAATTTAATAAAAAATACTTTGTTTCCTTTTAATTGTTTTTAAATCCATCAAATTCCCCCGGACAATTCATACTTAAAAATTCGATTTCCCAATCATTTTTTTAAAATATATCACACCACAAATCTCAAAGTTTAAATTCTAAATCACTTAGTTATAATAAAATATTTTAAAAAATCAGAAACTAACTTGTAAAACATAAATCCTAATTAATAAAGGATAAGAACACCTTTTGATATTATTATTTATTAAGAAATTAAAAAAAAAATATGATTTATATTACGAATTTATTATTTTTAAAAAAAATAATCGTATGTCCTAATTAATATTCCTATTTTTACTGGTATTTTATTATATTTTTTCTTTGCAAAAATAATATATTTGAAATATATATAATTTGCAAAATACATATAATGAGAAATAAATATTCAATATCATGTATCTATAATATAATAAATAATTGACAATCCCATGGTAAGGGTTTTAAAAAAAAAAGTAACGTCTTTGTAAGAAAACCAATTCTTATATATATCTTAATATTCAAATAATTTAAGAATATATACGGAGTTAGAGAAATGTGAAAGAGTTACTAACCGTCGAAGTTCCAAGATCGTCGGCGAAACGAAAGACGGTAGCGCAGCACCGGACGAGAGGTTGGGGATGTTCGGACAGTGTATCCAACGTTTCTTTGGAGATTTGGTCGGACAAAACACAGAAAGACTGCAGTAATATTGTCGGTGTGGAGATTGAAATGATCGCATTTTGCATGTACTCTCTCAAACTCGGCTTGTATCCGTTCTTGTACCACTTAGCTTCTGTTAGATACGCTTTCACTAGATCTGCCCACTGCGAATGCAAATAGTACAGAGAAAACAACTAGAAATGGGTTTAGGGTTTTAAACGGTTACTAAAAATGGAATGTGTTATGTTCAGCAAAAAACCCTATTCAAGAACAACAACAACAGCAATATCGTCTCATTCCCAAGTTCATTTGGGATCAGCCATATGAATCCTTATTTTCCACTCATTTCAATCTCGTGTTAACTTTTTCAGAATCTACAACACTTTCAAATTATTTCTAATGACACGCTCCCAAGTAAGTCTAGGTCTACCTCTTCCTTTCTTTCTCACCCATATACCGATACTCTCCACTTTTCTAACCGGTGCATCTATCGACCTACGTTGTACATGTCCAAACCATCTTAAACACCCTTTCCGTACCTTCTCTTTGATACCTATTACTCCTATTAATTCCTTTCTAATAATTTTATTTCTAATTCCATCCATCCTTATGTGTCCGCACATCCATCTCAACATTTTCATCTCGGTCACACTCATTTTAGATATATGTTGCCCTTTCGCCGCCCAACATTCGCTACAATACAATAATGCGGGTCTTATGGCGATACGGTAGAATTTTTCTTTCAACCGTAGGGGAACCTTACGATCACAAAGAACCTCCGTAGCTTGTCTCCATTTCATCTATCCCGCTTTTATTCTATGACTAGCATCTTCGTCGCAACCCCATCCTTTTGAAGGATTGACCCAAGATATTTAAAATGCGGGTTTTGAGATACTGATCCTCCTTGCAAGATAACTTCTACATCACTAGAACGCATGCCACTAAAGTTACAATGCATGTATTCCGTCTTCGTCCTGCTAAGCCTAAAACCCTTCGTCTCTAATGTACCCCTTCATAACTCTTTGAGGGACATGTACCCTTAGCCTCTAAGGAACCGAGTTTTTTTTTTATAATCCGAAAATTTACAAATTTTCGGCTCAATTACATCTCCAAAGATCGGAGAAGTCCATGTGAATATCTCTCCCCAAATAGAGACTTGAATCTGGGTTAGAAAATAATTTTGCTCTCTTCTTTACCAGTTGAGTTACCCACTCTTAAATAGTAAACCGAGTTTTGTATATTATTTACCGATTTTTTGAGGTAAGGGATGACATTGAAGTTTTTGGCTCTAAGAACATCTTGTCCGATCTGATTGGTTTCGTTGTACATAACCAGAAAACACAGCCTCATATATTCCGGAAGCTCCTCGAGGCAGTGCACATCCCAACTGCAAAAATATTCATCTTTTTTGTCGACGAATGTAAATAACCTTATGCTTTCAAATTACAAAATAAAAGCGTTTTTTTTAACCTTTCGGTCGCCTTAGTGAAGGCCACGAGCTCTTCTATGGTACCATAAACATCGAAGATGTCGTCAATGGTAGTAATTAACACGATAATTTTAGCAAATATTTGTCGATAATATCCAAATTCCGGTTCACTGAGCAATCCAACCGTCCACAAATAGCTCTCCATTGCTCTATCTCTTGCAAAATGAAGCTGTTTCAATCCTGAGTTGTTCCACCAGCTTCACAAGAAAAAAAAAAAGGTTTGAAGTTTGTTTTGTGATGGTATAAAGAGAACTACATCATAAAATTAACTTATAATTTCACGGTTATAAGTAAATAAAAAACGTAATGACTTTAGTATAGTAGTTTATAATATATATATATATATATATATATATATATATATGTATGCATGTATTGCGAACCATTTTGCGACAATATAGATTGATTCGAACGAAATTTGCAACCCTTAGCTTTATATAGAGCAGTTTCACGTCTGAACCAAAATATAATATACCGGTTACAAACCGACAAAAATGGCAAAATATCCGACACGAAACATCGTCATGTATTTGTCTTAGTGTCGAGTGATAAATACCTGGAGATGTATTTAACTTCTTCCTGATGCGTGGCCTGTACCATGTTGAAATCAATCTTTGCCAACTCTAACAAGACAGGGTCCATGTCGTGCTTCATTCCGTAGACGTCTATGTACCACCTTGCTTCGAAACGACGTGCGCGCCAATGGTACGGCATGTTTAGCGCTCGGGCCACAGTCTCCGACACATACGATTTAGTTCCATCGCCATTGTCGGCCGTAACAATCGATTCTCGTAATCGTTCCGCGGCCTCCGATCCGATTTTCATCAGCCTTGTGTCTGATCCCGTGGAAAGATACGATGCTTCGTATGTCGAGAGGAGACCCTTTACGTCAACGTCCGTGTCTTCTTGATACGTTTTCATTTTCTCCTCGTCCTCAAGATCACCGAAAACATCTGCATAATTAACTACGATCTATATATCAGTCGAATGACTCCATTGAGAAATCGAAACAGGATTATATGCAAGAACATGTAAGAGAACTGCATTCACTAGTTTCCTTTTTTATTCACAACCTTGTGTCACATGGAAGCCATGATCTCTGAGGAGACGAAATCCGAGTGCCCTCGTGTGCAAATCTTCTTCCTTCCGATAATGTCTCGAGTTTTTTGTGTTCTTGTCGTAAATTTCAGCTAAAATGTTGTGAATTTCTGGCATGAAATGGTATGATATCCCAAGTCTTTGGAGATTATCGATCAGCTCTAGTTGTCTGAGAGGACCCTCTGTTTCATGTAGTGTCTTTCTCACACTTTCCTTCAACGACTCGGCTCTTTCTCCGACTCTCTTGTCTTTCTGTATGAGAATTGATAAGCTTGAATACTATTTTTTTTTATCAAGTTTCCAAATGAATAAATTCTAAATCATCCACTAATAATAATAATAATTTTTATTATCAAGTTTCCACATGAATAAATTCTAAATCGTCCCACTTGTAATAACCCTCAATATTTTTAGTAAGACAAGAAGTCATAAAAGAAATACTGTTACTTAATAATAATAATAATAATAATAATAATATGAATTTATTCTAAACTAATATATGACTTTTAATATCTACAATAACACACAAAATAGATAAAGTTTCGAATAAAATCATGAATTTTGAAATTTTCAATAGTTTGACGCACGACCGTTAATAATATAAACAGATGCTCATTCATCGGATGTGGTTAAATCATAACATATGATAGCATCCACTAACAGTCTTGTGACTAACGTTATCAGATGTTATATTTAAGTTTAACAATGTTCGGAAAAGCTTATAAAATACTAAAGTTCATAGTTTTACTCGGAAAGCTTATTATATTTTGTGCATTTACTATAGAAAAATTAAAAACAATTTATTAATATGAAATAAATTGAAGAATTCAATAGTTTATATCAGATTTCTTGTAAATAATATAATCTGATTCTACTTTTAGTTTGCACTTAAAATAATTTATTAATACGAAATAATCTGATTTCTTGTATACCATGACGGTAAAAGCATAAATAATTAAAAGCAAGCCAATTTCTTAATAAAATTGTAAAATCATACAAAATTGTAATTGAATATAAATTATTAAAATATCGTGTATTTATTTGGTTGATTATAATCCTACCTATTAGTGTCTTTTGGGGCAATATTTATTTCTTCTTCTGGTAGAATAATAGAAATATATCCGGACTCTGTCATGATTTTGTATAACAATGTTTAAGCCGTTCAAACACAAAACAATAACTTATTAATAAGAAAATTCGCCAAATTCCATATAAATTCACGGGAAGAATTGAAGATAATAATTTTTTGATTAAAAATAATAATTAATGTGGAAAATAAAAGATGATCCTAATGGTGAAAGTGATTTGTAAAAAATGGTGAAATTAGGTACTTTTCAAAAAATATTTTATTATTGAGAAATAAATGCGATTCCGTTATATACAATATGTGCACGTTATATATGTAGTGTACGTAGTACGTACCGCATGTACATTTTCAAGCGAGAGGAGATAATGGTGGTCCCATATGGAAGGCTTATAGTTCCCAGATCGACGGACGACGGCGTTCAAAGACGACGGCGTTCCAGCGACCACGGAGCAAGCGAAGCGCGTTTGGGAACGAGAATTCGGAGGGGCATTAATGTAAATAAGATGAGAATTGAGCGAGAGCGAATCCATTACAAATTTGCAAAGGAAAAACAAAACCCTAGGTTTACTCTCTCTCTCTCTTCTTTTGCTTTTGTTTTTGTGTCACCTTTGCTTCTATCTTGGCAAATATATGCCCACAGATATAATAAAAAATAGACGTATTATGTATAGTAGGGCTTGCAACCGGTGGAAGGTACACGCAACATGCGTTTCATGTGGTAAGCCTGGCAATCAAAGGCTACCGACGTTTCTATAAGTTTTTTTTTAACAGTGGGAACCCGTGTCACAGTCCTTCGGATCGGACACCGGTTCGACTCCGCAGGTCGAACAGCATCTCGGACACTAAATCCACCGGCCTGTGCACCGTAGCCCACAAACCACGCGGAACGGATAAACCAATCGAAACTGACGGACTGAGGAGTAAGCTTAGAAATTGAACTTGCGACCTCGTATAGAGGGGACTTATCACTTTCCAACTGAGTTTGGGACTTCTCCCTTTCCTATAAGTTTATATATAAGTATGAATGCAAACCATTTAGTTCGGCTGAAAATCGATCTAATAATGAGTTGGGTTGGATCGACTCATTAAATTCGGATAACTCACTCGACACCGTTACATATTTACATACATACTCGTACACATTTATATGTATATGTACTATTCGATGATATTTAAATAATGTTTACATGTTAGTATGGGAGGAAAATAAAGTTTTTTTGAGAATTTTATTGGTTTCTAGATATTGACCAAACATATTTCGTTAATGTTTGGAAGGATTATCAAGAGGAGGTACAATACCTAGAAAAAATCAATAACAAAAGAGAACATGACAAGAAAGGAAATTAATTAAGAAAGGGAAACATAGTTTTTTGAAAAATTGAAAGATGAAGAATATACAAGGAGTTTCAAAGAAAATGAAAAAAAAAACAATATTAAGGAGAGAATGTTGAAGACTATTATAAATTAGATGCGTGCACAATTGCAGAAACCGACGAGTTTTACAAAGTTAATCGAGTGGTTTATAGTTGAGAAGGATAGAGGGTGTTCTTATCTCAGGTCCAATGTTCGAGTGACCGTTGGGAAGGAGATGTATGGTTTAATTATAATATATAGTCGGTATATGGATTTTAAAAAATATAATTGGATCGAATTTTCACTGAATTTTTGAGTTAATAAAAAAAATTAAGAGTCTTCAAATAATATACGATTAGTTCAAAATATCTAATCGGTATTACTTAGGATGTACGTTATATATATAACGAAACGAGATATTGAGTATTATTTTAACAAAAATAAGTTGTATTTGATAGGTATCACAAGAATACAATCACTTGAGCATTTTACATGTATTATGGTGATTAACTTTTTTATATTTGTTAAAATCAGATGAGTTCTTTTTATTTATCAAAATTATTATTTCGGTATTTATTGCCAATTGCCATAGTCCGACAAAATTCGAGATTTTTATTTTATATTTTTTTTCTCCGAAAATATTAGTGGATGAGTAGTTAACGACGTTTTTAACACCGAGTGGAGCGCATTTATTATTATACACTAATGTTTTCTTTCTTCTTTAATTTAGATATATTTTATTATATTGTCGATGTTTCCTTCCATTTTCCTAACGACCCCTTCCCTTTTAGATATTGATAATATATATAAAGCGATTTACCCAATCTAGAAAAAGTAATTGTCATAGTTTATTCTCTCTATTATATTCGATTATTTTATTTTTATAAAGATTGTATTTGTTCAGTTTTTATATTTTGATTTAATCGGTGTACAATTTGTTTTTTTAAAAAATATTTATTTGTTAAAGAATTTATTTTTATTCTGTTAATTTAATTTAATATTTAATATACAATCGGATTATTTTATTTTATAAAGATTATAGCTAATCGAATTTGATTTTCAATAAAATTATATTTTTTTTTAAAAAAAATAACATTTAAATACCTAAACTTTTAAAAAATCACAAATAACTATCTGAATTATAAAACTTTTATAAAATACATAAATTTTTTAAAAATCTTACAAAAATATCTAAACTTTTAAAAATTTCTCAAATAAACTAAAAATCTGCAACTAGTTGATTATATTTATTTGAAAAATATTTAAACTTTATATTTATTTGAAAAAATTTTAAAAGTCTAGATTTTTATATATTGAAAAGTTTAGATATTTATATAAAAGTTTTATAATTCAAATATTTTTTTAAAATTATTTTTCTATTTTTAAAACATTGATTCGTGTTTCGAGAATAGAGGAAATAAAATAGACACAAAGTTATAAACGTCTTCATTGCTATGGTAATTGTGCTAATATATCAATCTTGAATATTTTTATATCAGTACTAAGTTTAGTGTGCTAACTTGTTCCGGTCAGAACAAAACTTTTGATAAATTTCACCGGAATAAATAACTCGGAATATGTTTTTTTTTAAAGAATTAACAAAAATTTAAAAAAACTAAATATACACTAAACCAGCCCCGTACCCGATATTTTATAAGCTTTTTCATTTCGATTTACTCCCCGTTCACTAATAGTCGGTCATTACTTGGTTTACCTCAAATCTATTTTTTTTCTAATTTATACCAGAAAATAGAGCTATCCATGAATCAGAATATATATATATATGGATAAACCAATATAGTGTTACAAAACATGTAAATATGCTTATGAGCCATCTCATAATAAATTGACCTTAATCGAATAAGAACAAATTGGATCGAAGCGATTGAAAGATAATGAACGAAGCACTCATTTTAAATCTTTCACAATATAAGAATGCATAAAGAACTTAAGCATGTTGTCTATGTATTCAATTCAATGTGGCACTGTGTGTATGTGGGTTGTCGATAATATAGAAAATATTTTTACTGAAAATCATATAAAAAATTATATAAAACCTCTGCATAATAGATTGCATAATAGATTGTATGGATAGATAAATTTATTTAATAAAATATATTTATATTATTTAATATGAAATATTATTATTATTATTATTATTTGAATATATGTTTAAAAAATCAGAAAATATGACCAATTATATTGATTAAATATATAATTAATCGTGAAAAATATTGAAAAATATTATTCAACACATATGTAAAAACGATTTTATAATATATCGATACAACGATATTTATATTCTTTCATTTCCTCCTTTATATATATATATATATATATATATATATATAACTTTTGTTATATTCATATCAATAATTTTCCATAATATTTTATATTGACAATAAAAAAATAAACTGTGTCATGTAGATTATCGATAATATAGAAATTATTTTTACTGGAAATAAAAAAAATTATATAAAACTTCTGATTATATAGATAGATAAGTTTATTTAATAAAAGATATTCAAATGTTGATGTGTTGTCTTCGTTTGTGCATTTGTGCACGTGTGTTAATTTCTTTTCTTTTCGAAGTTATTCCACTGCATTCACTAGTTTCCTTTTTTATTCACAACCTTGTGTCACATGGAAGCCATGATCTCTGAGGAGACGAAATCTTTGAACTATTGAATGACGAATTATGTTTTCTCACAAGATAAAATGAATGTCTCTCACAAGATACAAAAGGTAGAGATTGGGTTAAGTTAAATGCTTTTTTAATGTACAGTAAGCTTGAAATTGGGCCCGTTATGTTTTTGGTCCATTCAAGTAAGATGGGCCCATAAGCTTGAAATGGGCCCGTTATGTTTTTGCACTTTGACCTTCTTACGAGGCCCATCTCGACTTCCTAATCAGTTCTCTCCTTCCCACGTGACACCTTGTCGTCTCCACGTGCTTGTCTTCTTTGCCATCCGACTCCGTTTCTTGTCCAAAGAAGGATGAGCAGACTCCATTGACAAGATCACTGTAACATAACCCCTTTTGTTTTCCATCTCGGGAAACAAACAGCCTTTTAACTAAAAAAACCAAAATTATGTCAAGAGATAAATAATGTTTTAATATTAGAATATTCTTTATATCTTTTGATAAATTATTCTCCAAAACCATACAAATTATAAAAGATTTCCAACTAAGGAAACAAAGATTTCCAGTTTGGTGGGTTTGTACTGTGTTTTGGCCGATTATAACATTAATTAATTAAAATATAATAATAAAAGCTACTTCAGTTAATTGACAACAGTAACTCATTACATCGACGAAAGCAATTAAGATAAAGAACGAGAAGAACAATCTCACCGATCTAACGGGAAACACACAGATTCGAGGGATCGGACGGTAGATGGAGCTCAGCAGGGGTGACCTGAGAACACATGACGGGCCAGTACCGATGACGTGGCAACACCAGAACCGTCGATCTAGGATTCTGCATTTTCATCTTACCATACAATCGCCCGCATGTGATCTCATATCGCCCCTGTCGAGATCCACTACCCCTCGGAGATCCACAAAATTTCTGAGTTTACACAAGAGGCATGGTGATATAACTCATTGTTTTCACACATATATATATATATATAAACAATAATAATATATTTACGAAGAGCTCAATTTTTCGTAAAAGATTGAAAGTGTAGTACATGTACCGGGATCCAGGCAGTTGTGTAATGAAGTCATTGTAGTACAAAGATTTTTTTTTTTTTTTGGTAATGAAAGTACTGTGTCGTGATGTTCTGTTTAGTACAAGGGCGACTTTGGAACTGTACTTTCCTTTGAAGCTATTGTACGGCAATAACGAGGCTCTGCATGATTGTAAATTTGTAGTACACGCTGTATTAACACTTCCCCGTCTTTTGTGAATTTGAATCACTGTATAAACATGTGTGTATATATATATATGCCTCAATTTAAGGAGTAACGGAATTAATTAGGAACAAATCGAAATATACTTTAAACAAAATGAATATGGATCGGGTATAACATATTTTAAATTACCAAATTATGCATGTGGATATCTAGCATATTAAAATTTGGAATATGATTTTACATATCAGTCACAGATATCCGATTTTTTTTTGGTATTTAAACCCGAATTTTATAATTAAAAATTAAGGATAATTTTTAAAATTTTAATAAATATTAAAAATATTTTGTAATTTTAAAAATTATGGGTATTTTTTAATTTTAAGAAAATTTTAGGGTATTTTTGTAATATACCCTAAATTCAGATCCTTTGTTCATATCTGTAGGTAATTTTTTAATTTTAAGAAAAATATAGGGTATTTTTGTAATTTATATTAGAAAACGAAGGCTAAGATACGAGTTAAATGATTATATAGGATGTTTTTGTAATTATTTGGAATATTCAACGTTGAAATCGTGAAATCTCGATTTTCGGGTTTCGATTTGGTATTCAAACGGTTTGGTTTGGAGATGTTTTTCGGTTTTATAAAAATTAAATCAAATTAGAAACATTTATTGGGGAACAACATTTTGTATTGAATGAGCAGTCAAATAGTGTGGGTGGTGATATGTCACCATATTAAATTTGATTCTTTAAAAATTGGATCATGTATCGAAATCCATTAGCCTCGGTCCATAATTCCCAAAACCCACAAAACTCCGTCTATAATTTGAAAATCCATTACAGTTCAGCCTAATATTCTTGAAGCCCATTAGCATTTGCCCAATATTTCGAAGGTCCATTAGCACTTTACCAAAAAAAATTAACATTAAATACCCATTTTAAAGGAAAAACATGGACGAGAAGAAAAAAAAACTGTAATTTAAAAACGAAAAAAAAAAGAAAAGAAAAGAAAAGAATTGTGCACGCAAAGTGTAATTTCCTCAAACTACACAGAAATTGTAATAAAAAATAACGACATGCAAATTTATGAGATTTTTACCATAATTTCCTTCTTCCTCTCTCTCTTGAAAACGTGCATAGGGTTTAAAATCCCCAAGAAAATGTTTTTTTAGTGCTCAAGTTAATACGAATTAAGAATAAATTCACCATAAGCATATCGTATCTGAATGGTGAATCTTAAACTTTTTTACTGAAATCGTATATAACCTAAAACCTTATCAATTTTTATAATTATAGAATGAAGTGAAAATCCAAATTTTGAAAACAGGACGAAAACCCACACTTTAACAATGATTCCTAGTATTTAGAAATTAAATATATTGGAATTTAAAATCAGAAAATCGGGATATTAATATGTAATTATTGTTGTTGAAATCCAACGGGGAGAAGCAATGTCCGACCCCCAAGCGTTTTTTATGTGTATACAAATACACTCTCAAATTCTATCATTTAATTTCGTCAGTTATAAAATTTAAATGATATTATAAATGATATATATGTATACAACTTTCTATGATCCTTTTAGTACTAAATAATCCAATTAAGTTTTTAAAAGATCTGATTAAAACTAAGGGAAATTTTACTTAAAAACGACTAACTTTGTAAAAAAAAACTTTGTAAAAAATTCAGGAAAAAATGGACTTTGAAATTCTTACATAAAAAAACAAAGTTATTCTTAGTTTCTAAATAAAAATATATTTTTTATATTTTTTTTGTATCCAATACAATGATGTGACGCCAGACAAAATCATCGCTTCAATCTGATTTGAATCTGACGTGACAAATTGGAAAAATGATAGGTCTACCACGCATTTCGCCACATAAAAATCAAACTAAAAAAGACAAAATTTTGCAAAAACACATTTTACATACATACACGTGTACAAAATCCGATATATACGATTTTGTATAAAAACATACTATTATGTATTCATATTCACATGTATTCATAAGTATATACACACACATATATGCATCGATATATTATATATATAATATAATGTGTGGATAATCCAAAAGCAGTGTTTCAACTGATTTTTTTTTTCAATCTGAATTCGAGTTTTTATTTAGAAAAATGGATCCAAGGTTTGATAAACTTTTTGATTATATATATAATGTATGAGTGTACGTATGCTTTATCCGTACCACGTTGCGTTGCATCATGCTTCGAAGTTAATCAACATAACTTGAAAAATAGTTGCAACTAATCCACGGATATGTACACAAAGACCACCTGTCTTCGTCTGACACGTGTCCGATTTTCTGATGGGTTCGTCAACCAAAATATTATAATAATTAATATATTTTTCTTATTTTTTTGGTCAACAGTTACAAATCCTTTGTTCCCAAGGAAAAATGACATGGTACCTGTGACTTGAATTTTAGTGTTATCTAATCTGAAACTTTTGATTTTAATGGAACGTATTTAGACATTATTTTGTTAATTGGATGTATTAGGGTTTTAAATATTTTTTAATTTAGATTTTTATTTTTGGAAGATTAATTTACGATTTTGTCCATACGTTGATGATATGGTCAGTAAATGGACATCATATCATGTTTTTTCTTAGATCACATTTTGTTCCGACTGTACAATTAGACAGTTCGGTTACGTTGTTACAGATCATGTGTTAACTCGGTAAAAAAAAAAAATTTAAAAATATGATTTCATTTGATTTTTTTTTTTTCATATTTTTGTGCAATTTTATACAAAAATTAAAATCCAAATATTATTTTAGAATAATGTAACACGTTGAATGTCATGCTCCGTATTTACTAATCTGAAAGTTATAATAAATACTAAATCTGTTTTAAAAAGAATATCCCAATGTTTGAATACACAGATACATTCGTAGTTATATTATTTTCACAAATACATAAGACATTTCGAAACAGAATAAATACAAGAGATTGTTCAAACTCAATATTATTATTTACTGTAATCTAGACGGATATAGTGTATTTAATAATTATTATTTTTTGGTCCTAGATGGAATATATATCATAATAAACAATAGATGGAAAAAGATATTATATTCTATCCATAAGTAAAATAAGAGAAAAAACAAAATTCTTCAAATAAAAAAATACCGAAGAATTCAAATTACATTAAAATTCTCATTTGTATTTATCATTATAAAATAACATTTAGAATGTGTCTTATAAAAAAACATTTATAATGTGATGAACAAAAAATAAGAAAATCCCGAAGTTATTATTTTTTTATTTCTTTTTTGTGGTTTTAATTCGTTTTCTTTTTATTTAAATAAAGAACGTGACTTTAAATATTTCCAACCTCAACCTACCTAATATTTCAAACATCATATTGTCGGTTCTTATCACATTTTGGTATTAAATACTTCAATAAAAAAACGATGGTTCAAGATATTAAATCTATATTCATCAATTATCAAAGTGCAATTGAAGAATTATTATGATTCTGTTTGTTTTGTGATTAAAATATGTAAGTAATATTCATCTAAGAATATTTACATTTGCAGATGTGTATTAAATAGTATCCGATTAAATAGGAAAGAATAAAAATAAATTATTGAAATGCTAAAATATATGAATCGATAATGATAAAATTATTGAAATGCTTTTATTTTTACATAACAAACAAAACAAACATCTCTTTAATTACACAACTCAAAATATTTATTCTTATAAAATCAAAATATTTGTTGAAATCATATGGAAGTAACAAAATTTTAATAGCGTCAAAAAATTATATTTTATTTATCATAATAATTTGCGATTTGTGTAATTAAAATATTAATTTTATATACATAAAAAGTAAAAAAAAAAGTAAAATTTGTTTTTTAAAGATTTATTTACTAAAATATTAACCTAATTTTATATATTTTTTACAAAATAATTTGGCTATCTATTTTTCTAAATTGATATTTTAATATCTAAAATTTAAAAGTTTCATATTGTGTGAAATTATAAAAAAACATAATTTTAGCTTTTTAGATTTTTAAAAATGATATCAATTTAATGATTTAATATAATTCTAAATTTGAAATATGACATATATATATAAAAAGATCTCGCCAAGTTGATAGTTTAAAAGTTCCGTTCTAAAATATGGTTTTTACACTTTTTCATTTTAATAATATGTATACATATTGAATGATTAGTATAACAGCGATTAAAAAAAAGCAGTGGATAACCAACCACATTTGCAAGTAAAACTTTCAAATTAAATATTTGATATAATTATTTTAATTTTTAAAACATAAAATACAAAATCTAAATTAATGAAGGTACAAATTGAGAGGTGTAGAAATCTAAACCATCATATATATATATATATATATATATATTACTGTTACAAAAAATCACAATATAAAAAGTAAGGAAAAAAATAAATAAATAAATAAGGTACAAAAAATCACAATATAAAAAGTAAGGAAATAAATAAATAAATAAGGTATTTATTATTTTTAGCGGTAGAGAAAAATCACTAATTAATTAATTCATATAGAACTGTCACCTACCAGCCAGAATAAAAAGAAATTGCTTGCCTCCAAATCCAACGGTCCTCCTTTCTCCGGAATCTTCTTGATACAAATATTTCTTGTCCTTTCCATCTGTAGAAATCTCCCAAAATTCCCAAATTCTAGGGTTTTTTCTTCGACACCCCTGTCTCTGATATCGAGGTTGATCTTACCGTTTCTTTCCCCTGTTTTTTCGGTTGGATTTCCCGGGAGAAATAGAAGTCGAGTTTTTAGTTTTTGTTGTGTTTGAAATGTTTGAGCTGTTTAATTTCATCGATTTTGATTAGAATGAAGTACATAGGAGGATTCGATGTTCGATTTCAGATTTATGGTCTCTTTCGGTAAAAATTTCTCAGGGAACAATCAGAATTTGTGGAACCTTTATTTGTTTGGGAGTTTTGGTTGTTCAGAAATCTTAAGGACATGTATGTTTCGTTTGTAGATTTGTATGATTCGTTTGTTAATTTGAGTTTATCTAGTGTCGATTGAGGTAATACATTGATTTAGACTTATACCATGCTTGAGCCTTTTGTGTTTTATACATCTGCAAAAAATTGGCGTTATAAGTCATTAGAACAAAAGCACATTTGGCTAATAATCTTTTTGGCATGTTTGCGAAATTTGGAAGATGGATGCCCCACTTTAGTGTGGGTTTTGTTTGCAAATTTGCTTATGCCTCAGTGTTTTAACCATGAGTTAATAAGTTGATGGAAAGGTAAACCCCACTTTGTGAGATTTGCCTCTCTTTCTTGGCTGCATTTTGAATATCGAATCTCGACGTTTTCTCCAGAAACTCGAAATATTGCTGAAATGCAGTGGAATGTGGTGAGACGAGCCCATTCTTTATGGTTTGCTGTTGATTCTGCGCTAGCGAGCAGCAAAATGTGCAAGAGTTTATCACAGAACACTCATTTGCATCATGCTTGTATTCCAGTCTCGCACTTTGCTACCATGTCAAGTTTGGAGGAGCCATTAGGTTTAGACAAGTTGCCAAGTATGAGGACGATAGACAGGATCCAGAGATTCTCATCTGGTGCTTGTCGGCCCAGAGCTGATGATTTGGGCTTGGGACACTGCTGGTTAGAGGGAAGGGATTGCAGCACTTCAAACAGTTGCAAGTGAGTGATTTTATCAATCGTTTCTTTTCTCTTTTTCGAGAGTAAGCTGGCAATATTCCGTGCTATCTGTGAAGATATTATCATTTTGTTTTGGGTCAACTCTCCACAAGTTGGTGGCATCTTTTCTTTATAGTATCCGGTTGTCTTCAGCTAGGGTTAGAATGCAGATGCCAAGTTCTCATTTCTATCTTGAAACTTCTGATGATTTACAGCGATGATGATGACAATTACGGTAGAGAGGGTTTTCCATGGAGAAGACATACCAGGAAAATGTCCGACGGAGAGCCCATTCTTCGGAGGACGTCAACTTTGGGAATGAATCACATGACTTGTCAAACTTTATGGGATCCCCGATACTTGCATGATCGTAAATACAGCACCATTAGCAATGAGAGGAGCATTCACCACTCAACCAATAAGGTAACTTGCTTAATGATCGAATAGGGTTTCCCTTACCTGTACTTAAAAGATAACTGTTCCTTCTGTGTATGTGAAATTCGTTTGCAAATACATTTCTTGATTTGATTCATGCTTTGCATTTCTCACGTGACGGCCACATTCCAAATTTTTTTGTTAAAATAATGAAAAATCAATTTTCTTTCTCGGTAATTTTTTGTGTGGAAATACAGATTTTTGTAGCTATACCAAAATTTGTGAAGATTGTAGAAGTTGGCCCAAGGGACGGTCTGCAGAATGAGAAAAATATAGTACCGACATCTGTTAAGGTTGAACTGATTCAAAGATTGGTTTCTTCTGGATTGCCGGTGGTTGAGGCTACAAGTTTTGTATCACCTAAGTGGGTTCCACAGGTACTGTTACTTTTGTTACCTAATCGTGATGTTGCAATGCATCATTATTTAATTCCTGGATGGGGTTTTACCCTATAATTCTGCTTATAAAGCGATGACCTCGTGGAATTAAAGATATAATGGAAGCAAGTATTTATAGCTCACTAACAAAGACGAGGCTACATCTAGTTGTAGATAATTCAAAGTAAATATGTTAGCATGTTTCTTGGATAGCTTTTACAAGCTGCAACAGGGGACCTCTGTATTTTTTTCTCTGGGGATGTACAATTTGCTAACCTTCACTTTGTATAATCTATAGCCATATCAGAGTAATCTGAATTGCTTTGGAAAGGCAATGTAGTGGGGACTGTCATTATCATATTTATGCTTATCTATAGAAAAATGTGATACATCTCAGTTTGTCGTGACATTTCTTGTGACCAATGTTATGTGTTGTGTCCTGATGCAAAGACTGACATTTGTTGTGTTGTGGCAAGCTGCTAGCAAAATAGTCGTTTGTTTCTTGGATAGCTTTTAGAAGCACAGTACCGCAAGGCCGATGACAATGGCTTTATTTTGTTGTCCTTTTAGCTTGCCGATGCAAAGGATGTAATGGCTGCAGTCAGCACCCTAAATGGAGCTAGGCTACCTGTTCTGACGCCCAACCTAAAAGTATGCATCCTGTATCACTTAAGGTTCTTGTTGAAAATCTTATTCTTTGATTTAATTATGAACACTAACCTGCATAACTTCATTTAGGGCTTTGAAGCAGCTGTCACTGCAGGTGCTAAGGAAGTTGCAGTCTTTGCATCAGCTTCTGAGTCATTCTCTAGATCGAACATCAACTGTACCATTGAAGAGAGTCTATCGCGGTACCGTGCTGTTGCCAATGCTGCAAAAGAGCGTTCAATACCTGTCCGTGGGTATGTTCTATTTTTATTTTCTTGCTTTCCTTTCCTTGTCTGTTCACTGAGGCTGGTGTTTGCGAGAAGAATGTTGCAATTAAATGTAACTACTAGTCCAAATGCTGTAGTTTTAGTTTGGTGATGATGGACAAGACACTTTAAGATGTTAGACTTTGACGATGGTGCATCAATTGTTGAACTGATTGTGATTTCCTACCTAAAAGTTAGTGTAACTGTATCATGAACAGTGATTTTCATTGACTGGTTTAATGCCATATGACGGACCAATTATTGTGTTTTGCGGTTCATAACTTATTTTAAGCACCTTAGTTCTAGTTTAATGCGTCACCTGCTGAATGTCCTTGTGGTTTGTTCATCTGACATTGCAGCATGACATCTGACCTAACTTCAAGTTTCAAAACATCCCTTATGACATTGTAGTCACCTTGACAACAATTGGTTCTAATATCTATGAAACTGTTTCTCAACTTCTGAAGGTATGTATCTTGCGTCGTGGGATGTCCTGTGGAGGGAGCTGTTCCTCCCTCAAAAGTGGCTCATGTCGTAAAAGAACTTTACGATATGGGCTGCTTTGAAATTTCTCTCGGTGACACAATTGGAGTTGGCACGCCAGGTACTTCCTAACTGCGAATTTTGCAATCATCATCAAATTATGCATGGGTGTATATATATATACACACATATACAATTGTTGTGTGTGTGTGTATACTAACATGTTTCCTTGGACCAGGTACTGTGGTTCCCATGCTTGAAGCTGCCATGGCTGTTGTCCCTGCCGACAAGCTCGCTGTCCATTTCCACGACACTTATGGGCAAGCTCTTGCAAACATACTGATTTCTCTTCAAGTAAGTCATATAGATCAAACCCTAAATTTATATGGCATACGATCGTTGTAGCTATGCACATCACAAGAGATGGGGATTCTTTCATGTATCATTGTGTCCTGTCCTTCGTTTCCGAGTAGAAGCTTCTTCTTTCTTGGTTTCTGCTTCGATTCATCTGTTTACATACATCCGTAACTTCTTCTGAACAGATGGGAATTGGCATAGTGGACTCATCGATCGCGGGATTAGGTGGATGCCCTTACGCGAAAGGAGCTTCAGGGAACGTAGCCACGGAAGACGTGGTCTACATGTTGAACGGTCTCGGTGTTCAGACCAATGTAGACTTGGGGAAGCTCCTGTCTGTCGGAGAATTCATCAGCAAACATCTGGGCCGCCCTTCCGGCTCCAAGGCCGCCGTAGCACTCAGCCGCCGCATCACAGCCGATGCTTCCAAGATATGAAAACGACAAGAGTCCGCATGTCCTCTTTGTCTTTATCTAAACCTTATAAAAAATAATGATTTTTCGCGTAAACGTGATATGTCCATGGCTTTCGTACGGAGGTTGATATATGCTACGTGTGTTATATTTAAAACCTCATCTCAGTTATCTACTCTGTAAATTTTCGTTTCAGGCGTTTTTTTACGCGTTTATTATGTTAAATTATAAGAGACGACCAATATTTCGTATTATATAAGAACATTTGTTTATTATCTGTATCATATTTATGCATGGCTATAAAGTTTTATGTTAGCGAACAATGCGTGACATAATTATCTTGTCACGACGTTAGAGATGATATGGAGCAATAACATTGCTCTACAATTGAAGTATCAGAATGCGTATCATATCATCGTTCTGATGATGATGATTTATTTCTTCATGCGACCTATATGAAAGATGATGATAAGAAGAAGACGTGGATTCTCTGATATCCAAGTGAAAAAAAAAACCAAAATTGTCGATCTCCAAGTACAAACCGTACCTACAATTCAAATTGAGTAAACCAAAGACAGTAAAACGGTCTCAATTACAAATGGACGAATTAACTCCTAACCAATATTAAACCGATCAAATCCAATCATATACCATATATCCAATACATAGCTAGATAAAAATCATTGAGAACAAAACCAATTAGAATTTGTCCATTATCGTAATGGATTCCGAAGATTCTGGTAACGGAATATTCGATCTTACCATGTGGCTTGGGGACCATAGCTCCTCCGTATAAAACCAGATATTTAAATCAGTAATTAACTAAAGACATATAAAAATGTAAAATCTGATTATGGGTCCGCATGACTTTTGAAAACAATCCAACGTTTCGATCTTGAGTTGCAACACAATTATGCACAAAGTGAAAGCGCCGTCGCATATGCACATACATACATACGTGCGTGCATGTGTGGACCTACTTTATTTAATTAAGAAAAGTTATTTTCATTACAAATTTTATAAAATTTCAAATATAATTGATAAATGACTCCGTAATCAAATTAAATTTGTCTACACGATTATATGTATATATATATATATATATATTATTACCCCATTTCATTTTTAAAATTTTATGGATCTGCAGCTGCATGCATGCACGTTTTCTCTTCGCTTGCGCTTAATTTGCAGTCTTTGTTCGCAAACTTTTGCATATTCATACGCACGGGCAAGGCTGCGTGTATCGTTTTGGATCAATTTCTTCTTAGATAGCATCTTTGGTCGGAATCGTATTTTTCAGTAGTCGGGAATCTTAGTTATCACGTCAAATTTTCGGCCTGACACGTATGCTTAAGGTTAAATGACACCATTTTGATCGATCTAGAGTTTTTTGTGGCATTTTATACAAATATTATTTGAAAAAATGGAATAATTAATGTTTCACTTTTCAGTTGGGAATTTTTTTTGTGAGATTTTCCTTTTTTTTTATAAAAAACAAAAAAAAATTGTTTTTCTGTCTTATAAAATTAGAAATGCCAGTTATATATAAATTTTCCATACCAACAAAAATCGGTAAGAGTGAAATAAACGGTTACAATTAAAATACTAAAATTTTAAACAACGGTGACTCAAGTTTTTTACGTAGATAAGGTCGTTTTTAATTGATAAAAATGATTTAAAGAGTTAATTTGTGATTGAAAATTTAGTGACTGATAAAAAAGAAAATAAAAATTAAAGACCAAACAAACACAAAATTTAATATCCTCCAGGAGAGGCACCAAACCCTATGCCTTTGACTCTCTCTCCTCATTGACTCTCTCTCTCGTTTTCAGAGCTCCGTCCCCAAAGTCACCCAAAACACACACACAAACAAACACAGAGATTTACAAAGAAGCTCATACTTATACCCACACAGAAACAGACATTTCCTTATGCTTAATTAGGCATTGCTTGCTCTCAAGGAGGAAGAACAGAGATGGGATCTCTGAGGAGGAAAGACAGAGACCAAACTGCTGTTTGCGTCTTCTCCGTGTTCCTCTTGTTTGTCTGCTTCTTCTCCTTCTTCTTTGTCTCTCTCTCCTTTAGCAAGACTTCTTCTTTCCGTCGACAGTT